TTGGTCAAATAGGAGACGGAAATGTTTATACATCCATACTACTCTGCTAGTTATGTATAGGCATCACTGAATATCTTGGTTCAAGCGGAAGATAAAACCTAAATATATTCGAATTTTTCATCTGTAGAATACGATGCATGCACTATGAAGCCATATACATTGAGTGGACCCTTCAAGTGATACATTGAATAAATGTAAATGAATTGGTAAATGAAAATGTTTTATTTGAAAACCCTCCTTAGTACCTGGTGACGGCATCTTAGAAAGCTGTCATTAAACTTTTTTACAATTATTTTGATCGACACTCACTAAATTTCAATCTTCCACTGAAAACGAATGATTAGACTAGTGTTTGGCTTTCGTATCCAAATTATTCATTATCCTATAACTTACCGTTATACTTTCCACTACTATATGATGAATATTCAGACGATACTGTTGTTATGACATTAATGAAATCTGCTATGCTATTTAAAGACTATCAGTGTTCAATATCTACGGAACAATTACCTGCAAAAGCCGAGAAAAATTTCCTAAATATATGAGAACTTTGTTATGACTGCTTGCTATCAGACTGTGAAAACCAGTTACAAAGGCTTTAGAAGTTAAAACATCAACTTTGCCTGATAAGCTATTCACTTTGTTTCTTCATGATATTTTGATGTAAATCAACAGATGTTCCTCATACACAACTTAGTGTGTAGCCATTTATCAGCAAAGTTTAGTCACCACAGTAACCAGTATTCTCATCCTATTGGACAAGTTTCGTTCAGTTTGATGACTATAATCTTAAATAATGGAATGGTGATAAAATTTGGAACAAGGATTTGAGGCACTGAGGTATTCGGACCACAAAATTTTGGGTTATCAGCCTTGGGATATACCAAATGATTCACAAAACCAGGCTACTGACCGGTTTACTTCAGTTAAATGGATTTTGCTGAGTTCCTTTATTAGTAAGTGACCCCAGACTATCTTCTCGTAATCACCTCAGGTATTAAGGTAGGTATTCCTATCCACTGATATCGAGATTATTAGAAATAGAGCTGAACCAAGATTCCATTTGGATTTCAGCTTTAAACTGACTATTTGAAAACAGTCAGCCAAACTAAGGATGTTTCATGGAGAAAAAAATGGTTGTTTCTTTGTAGAAGCTTGGTTCTTACACAAGTCCTGTCCGAAACAGCATGATGCTAAGTTAGTGCTGGCAATGTTGTCTAGAAGTAAATCAGAGCTTCACGACTAAACTTGCCAGCTCAGGGAACGAAACACAACCAAGATCATCCACCTGAGCTACAAATATTCTCCTCCATTTCATAAGGATATGTGATATGATTTTAAAGAATAACTTGTCACAGCCTTAAAAATGTTCAAAAGTCACGGGAACAATAAGAAGGGTAGCGACAGAAAAAGAAAGTGACATGATAAATATTTTTAACAGAATTTAGTTTACAAATTGGTAGTTTGTGGGGACTTCATTGATTTTAAGTTGGCATTCATTACTGACTGACATCAATTAAAGGGTAGTTGAAAATACGAGGGCACCACACACCTGCTTCGCCATAACATAGAACACCTCAGCAGCGCACGCTCATGGAATGAGATTCTCGAAGTTCTAATAAGTCGTAACCTGTGGGACACGCCAAGCAGAACGTGAGGACAGATACTCAGCAACAACATTGGATGAAGGTCACGCTAATATCGTGAGGTGACAAAAGCAGAAGAATCTCTACTATTGGGTTCCGAACTAGTGGCTGGGTGGCAGCTTGCAGGATGTGGAAACTGGAGGTCCTTGGTTTGATCGCTGGTAACTTCCTTTCCAAGTTGCATCAGTCTATGATGAATTTAGTTTCGATTATGGATCACAAGGTAGAAAAAAGAATTGCTTAGTGTTTAAAGTACTATCCATATGCATTTAATTAATTCTGATCATCTGGTAAATGGAGCTTGAGAATGTGGCCGCTGAAAGGAGTAACACCTTTTGTCCTATGACACAATAGGGATTTTTGAGCCAATAATCTTCCTGATTTTTAAAAAACTGATTGCAGGTTTTATTAAGTTTTGGTTTCGGATGAATGTAGGGTGAACATTTAAGCGGATGAAAGCATATCGCTGACAGTAACTAAACATTCTATGTCCAAACAGTATTATAAGTGATGAGAGTTTTACATTGAACGTTATCAATTCTTTTAATAATAAACAGCATTACAATGGTTGTATTACCTGAACCCACAAAATAGACCACATTGCTGTCTATCAAAGATGTCTCAGGAACGGTCAACCAACAGATTACAATGTTCTACACCAATGGGACACACAAGACAACCGAGTCAATACAGAATATGTTGTGAAAGCTGAAGAATCCAACGATCAAAGAAGATAAGATGAGTGAAGGCCGAAAACTAATTTCAAAACCTGCCACCATCCCCACTTACCTCAGTTCAGTCATTGAATAGTCTTTGGAATCCATGCTCATCAACTAGCATACCATCTTCGATGTCCAAAAATGTAGACGAATACAGCCACAACTTTGATTGCAACAAAGTGGAAGTACTACAACATGTAGGTTCAAAACCTGCGAAGAGGAATTCTTGTAAGCATGCGACTTCAACGAAACGATAGTCAACAGACAAATGGAAAATGATCCGTTAAACAAGTCAATAATCCCAAATTAACGAGATCGAATGAGTCAAATGTTCATATTAGAAATACTCCATGCCTCCCCCCAATAAAATCAGACATAAACTTAGGTTATACTAGTCGATAAGTGTCAGAAAAATCATTCGCACCTTCATCCCATTAACATTTGAAGAGAAAAAATATCTTGATGCAACAATAATGTTATCTGAAAAAGCTTCAATTCCTTATAAAGCAAATACTGATGAATTCACCTTCACCGGTGATGACAAGTGGAAAAACAAACATAAGAACTCGTAGGACGTTGAAACATTATCTCTATGAGTTTCGTCCCAAGAACTTATTTGCTTTGACAACTTGTACAATTTTATCTAATAATGTTAGCCTTCAGGATTTTTCCAATCAAAAATGTATAATTCACCATAGTGATTACTACCAACATTGTTTTTCAGCTGGCGTATTAGTACTTCTTGATGTTCATCTGCCGCTTTTACGTTGTTTCATGTCAGTTGGTCAGACACAACTCACATCAGCACACCAAGCTACAAGGTGACAAGGTGATAGATGAAGAAACAGGAAAGTAACCAAATGTGATGGAAAGTTGTTAAAGGAGAACAGGAAGGATCGAATCACTTCTGAAATTCACCGTGACGATTAAGATGAGGGTAATGTGCGAATACATTTGTACCAGTATGATCTAACTTGACTCGTATCATACAGAGCCATCAACGGGTAATTTGGTTATCATGAGCAATCCAAGTGAGAATTGTGTATTTCTCTACAAGGTTCAGAGTAACAGTTAGGGACTTCATGAAGTGATCCTATTCTCCCATCTGACCCTCTTTTACCTTTCTCAAGCCTAAACCTACTTTAGTTAATACTGGACGAAGGGAAAGACTGTTACCAAGCCGTTGTAACACATGTACGTTAAAATGGGTGTAGAAACCCGACTACTTCTGATGTGGAAATGTGAAAGGAAGAGTAAGGGTTCATAACCAAGATTTTATTTGCACTAAACCATATATATGTATATATTTGTGCACTTTTGCAAGTTTTTGAATAGTTCTGACGTCCAGCGTACCTTGAAAAACTGAAAATACTTGCTCTCCTCTATGTCTAGAATAAAGTGTACAGGTCTAAACTGAAGCTAAACTACAAATTATTCTTGAAACTCCGTAAAGGTTTCAATCTTTCATAACCATGTGATTTAACCTGATATCTTTCTAGAAACTAAACATAGATGCTTTCCTGTTGTGGGCAAATTCAGGATGATTAATATGGTGTTAGATATCATTTGAAGTTACAACTTTTACTGCAGCGAACTGTGTTGTTTAGACCCCAAGGCTTGTAAAGCGAACATAAGGTACATACAGATAAAACCAATGCAGAACCCAACACAAAAATGTATCGGTCCAAGTTATCACAAATCACAGTAGCAAGTGGATAGAAAAAGAAATGATATCAAAGCACACAAAAGGTGTGTATAGAAAGAATTTGAAAACGAAGGTTAGCAAGACTAGTTGGGCCGTAGAAAACATCAAACACCTGTGTCACCAAAGGTCTCCAACTATTGATTCTCACAATTTCAGGGACTCCAGCTAAATGGTCTACACCTCCCTACATGATTCACACCAACATTTAGATACTTCATGGATTGCTTTGTTACGAGGGAAAAAGCAATTTCATGTTGTCCAGTCCTAATTTCAGTGCAGTATACTTGTCATTTGATAAGTAGTCAGATATCTCGCCAGTTGGCGCCACAAATGACCCAAATTGGCAGATGACAAACGGGCCTTCTGTATCAGGGTTGATACAACTCACCAAGTAAGTAAAATAGTTCACATATTCCACCACCTCATTGACTACCCTCAAATTGAGAACAGTTGTGGACCAGTTATGGGACATCACCTTACATCTAAGAGGTGAGAAATTTATACCGATTTTACACAAACTTCTGTCAAAGGCTTCCAGAAAATCCTGGAGTTTAATGGCCTTTCCACCCAACAGGACAACGTCGCCTCCTGATTTTAATTCGACGAGATGCCCTCCAGGGGGGTAGATCAATCTGTGTGAGGTCTGAAGGACATATATGACAAGGGTGGAATGGAATGGTGACAGAGGGTATCCTTAGTGGTCACCACTAGTTGTTGTCACATAGCTGTGTGAGCTCAAGTTGAGAAACTACATTAACGTCATCTACTAGCTCAGTACTCCCTTCACAGTTGAACACTGTCTGAACATGAGATGAATTGAGCTTAGTTTTTAGTAATTTATTAAACTCATTAAACTGACTAATTCCCTGACTACCTTCATAGTGTTCATATGTATGTTGACTGTTCTTACTTTTTAATTCATTATTCCAGTTAGCAGAACAACAAGAGGAGAATAAAGAAAACTCAACAACCGATTCCAATCAACCACCGAAAATTGAAGTGAATCAGGTTAATGAACGAAAATAGTAAGTCAGTCAATTTACTCGACTAGTTGATTGATAGAAAGAAAATTAAATATACTTTCAGTCATTTTTTAGAACGGAGTTACTGAATAAATAGAAAACAATACAAATAACGGTTGATTGATTAGTTCAACTGTTCGTCCATTTTATCACCAAACACATGGACAAAAGTTGGACAACTGATATCAATCCATGATGGATACTACTTTAAAAATAAAATCATCATAAACTTTAAACTACAGTACTATACAGTGCTCACTGGTTACATGCTTTCAGATAGATGTCCTGAAGCTGCTCTTATAAAATGCTATGACCCGTCTGGTCAACTAGTCACATGTGAACCAAGTGCCAACTGAAAATCTTGGTGGACGGTCACGCTGTATCGTGAAGTGACAGAAGTTAAAGACTGTGGATCATGGAACTATGACCCAGTGGCTGAAATGGCTGGCACACTCATCACGAAACCCAAAGGTACTGAGTTCGACCCCTTGTAGGATCACTTAACATCTATCCAGTACTCCCAGGTCCTTAGTGATTCTCCAACTGACGTCAGCCCATGGAAAACACTACGATGAAAAGAAAGGCTGTTTGTTAATCTAATGGTTACAAACCTAGATAAGGAAAAAAGTCTCCAGCTTCAATCCTAATTTTAATTTTTTTCCTTCTGAATCACAAAAAGATTTAACTGCTACAACTTTGCGTGTTTTGTTCACTAACACTTATAAAACTTATTATGATCCTTGTATTATCCTGTTGCTGAATGGACCGAATAGATTAATCTTTAGTGGCATATAGGTTCCTGTGTGGATACTTCTATATTGCCTGTCATTGCAATTTCGATATTATTAATGAAGACCTATCGATTTAATCCGATCAAGGACAAGGTAATAAAAACATCATATAAACTATGCCTGTCCCATAAGAAGTGACCATCGTAACTTGATAGCCTAGTGGATAATGCTTCGGCGTTTGAAGTGACCGATTCCAAGTTTAGGTCTCAGTGAAAACGACACCGCTCACTGAGAGGCAGGTATGTCCAGCTGAGGAGTCCTAAATGGAACGAGAAACGTGTTATGAGTTCCACCGCTAACCATTATCTATCAATAATGTCAAACTTTCATAAATTGCAGATGATTAAGTTTTTGTCTTCATTGTTTAGTGATAGTTTACGCGGACTGGTTAAACTTGAAAATCCACCGAATTACAGTGAGAATGGTCTCTGTACCTGATTCATACGGGAATACAACAAGTTAGATGGTGAAATTCAAGTATACCGATAGTACTCAGTGTTGAAAGGTTCATGAAGGACTTTAATGGACCCTACAGTAACTCCTATTAGCCTATTAATCTAACCTAAAAGTAACGTTTGATCAGAGTGAACCATTAAGTCTTTTATTCTGCAATGGTAGAACTTCAACAGGCTTACGACTCCATGAAGTTAACTATTGAAAAATAACAGAAAGTAAAACCTGAACGAAAATAAACAAAAATTATTACTCTATTAATTAAAGACTACTTTATCAAATAAACCTATCTCGGAAAATCTCACAGATAAACAATCTTACATTTCACTGTGTACACATACAGAAATGAGATTCACCTCCGATACAAACTGTCACCATATTCATTAAGAGCTCAAAATTCTTCCTAAGAAGTGTAGATTGTAATCCTACGGAACACCTTATAAAAATCTTGCTATAGTACGGTATTGTTCCGCTTATATTTTAAGAAAACTGTTTGAGAATGAACATAGTTGTGACACAAACTGATACTATCTTGAAGAAATCATTGTGTAGTGTTGCGAAACTAGTTGTTACGCCAAAATTAGACAAGTATTTTATTTCCTGTGGTTCTATACTTAGTAACAATTATTATGTACGTGTATATGCATATATGGTAGAAAATCCTTTTTCTCATGATTTTATAGTACATGGAATAGCTTGAAATCACTCAAAGAAAAAATAAGCTATTCAACATGGCTGCATTTATTGAATAGATTAGTGGCCAAAAGTGGGTTAAGTTCTCATAAAATCTGTGGCTAACTATCGACAGAAGGTAATGCGATAAAAAAACAAAACTTTTATGCTTAATAAATCGCATAAAGTTATATAAATACAATAATACTACCAGGTATACAAACAACTTTACTGTCAAATACTGACACATAATCTTGACCAGTTAATTTAAGAACAAAGTATGACTACCGAAGGAAAAGACTCATTACTGTAGAACACTGTAAAGTATAGATGCCATTTCGTTGAACATTACCTGGAAAGCATATTCTTGAAACCTATGATTTCTTATATCTGTCATTTCTTCTCTCTGTCTCTGTCTTATAGTTCAGATGCAAGGGAGTTTGAAAAGTCTCTGACAGCTCAAATGGGAAATAAATTTTGTGATAACTGTAAGCATATATTTTTAACATAAGTTTATTTGTTAGTAGATTTATTGATTATCTTCCCAAACAGTCCTGCTGTTGATTGAAAATTTAGGCCATGTTGAGCCAACTTATGTGTTAAAGTATTATATATATATATATATATATATATATATATATATATATATATATATATATATATATATATATATATATATATATGCTTTAAAAATAACACCAATTAAAACATTTGGATGAACAATGTTTTTATTCTAATTTATTAGCTGTAATATTTATCCTTAAGTTTTTCGGGTCATTTATTGAACTTGCTTATAGAAATTCTTCGGAAAAAATTCAAAAGAAAAACATAAAGAAACTGTTTAATATTATTTCTCATTAGAAATGAATGAAATTTTAACTATGCAAATCATCAAAAGACTTATTCATTGGCTTCAGTTTGGGTAGTTTTAAACCGTCAGCCTATTGATTATAAAATAGGCTTATCACTTTACAAGAAAAACAATTCATCTTGGTATTATTAGTGGATAGTGGTTAACAGTGGAATCCATATCGCGTGTTTCATCCTATTTTGAACTCATCAGCTGGATATACCTGCCTTTCAGTGGGTGATTTTTTCCCACTTAGACTCGAACACACGACCAATTACTTCAGACGCCAAAGCTTTCCTTACTAAGCCACTGGTCAGTCATTTCAGCCCTGCATAGCAACAACCATTGATATTGGTTGCACAAGTGGTGTCTATCGTGCCCAATCATCTAGTAGATAAAGCTGTGGGATTTAAAGCTACTGGTCATGGGTTAGAGTATTACTTGGAATAACATCAAGAGGAAAATACATCCAGCGGATGATTCATAAATAGGATGAAATGCGTGTTCTGGATTCCACAGCTGGTTAAAAAGATGTTTATGAATTGACCTAATCATCAATATTTTTCGTATGCTGATCAGTTTTCACTTCATTTTGTATGTGGTCGACCTATTTAATTACTGCTATTGCTACCACTTCTACTGTTCACAACAAATACAAGTGTAAAGACACACACATATACATGTACATAACTGAATACACAGATAATTTATGCTTTCCATTTGGAAAACAAATAGACAATGTCTGATCGACCTGTAGAGTGAATAAATTTACTTCCATCTTGTTATACCACGCAACTGATGAAATTCGCTAATCATTATTTATTATGCATTCTTAATTATATTTACATATAAGTTTTAATTAATGCAAAATAAATTGTCATCTGTTTACCATGCTTCTCTTCATCATTTCCTTTGTTTATTTTGTCGTTTTTCTCTATCTGAGCGGAACGAAATTGTTTGTTTTGTTCTCGGCTTCTGTTGTCAATTGTTTCATCTCTCAATGACAGATAAACTATCAATTATCAAGATATTCATTATAATAACCTAAATTATTTTGCATAAATTTGACGAGAACAACTTCTAAGTAAAAACCTTTTCTGAGCTGAAACCTGCTGCGGCAACACTGTATAATGAGGGAGATGATGACTGAGCATGAGTAACACATGCTCAACCTATCAGAATACATAAAGAATCTCAAACTCAAAAACAAATCCTCATCTACCTCAAAGTATACACCTTACTTTTTACCTTGTCAACAACTTCACTTTGCAGAACTATGTCACCTGCATTTCACAAATTTCGTTTTAAGGTTTCCATAACCTGGAAAACTTTAGTACAATAAATCCTTACTCCTGTCCCGTTGACTGGAGCAGATTAATCGGCAGCTACTGACATATTTGCTGCTGTGAAAATACCTTGATATTGCCGACATTTTCAGCTTCAGCAGCTAGCAGTAGGACATAAAAGCCAACATACCAATAGTGACAGACAGATTCGGTGCAATCAACGACGGGGACTTGCAAACTATAGCATCAGAACTGTACTAGACCAGTCACACAAGAACTGCCTGCCGTGACTAAGTCACCCATATATAACGTTTTGAAGTTTGAAGCAAGAGGTTCTGTTTTCCAGTGGTAGCGTAAAGAACATCACTCAGTAGTAGGTAGGTACATTCAGCTGATGAGTCCCCAAGTTGGAGGAAACGTGCATCGTGAATTCTGCTGCTAGCCAATATTCACTATTTATATGAAACCCTGTAAACTTCCTATCAGCATATTAATTTTACGGTTTTGAAATCCAAGTATTCTTTTAAGAAATCCTCTATAATTCCAACCTTCTTCCTAAACAGATAGCACAATGCAGAAATTTCAGACAGATATTGAACAAGGCAGAGAACAAGAGTCACAAGCAAACCAAGAGTCAGAAAAACAGCATCAGTCATACGGAAAACCAATACTTCCTTATAGTTCAATGTTTATCTTTTCTTCAACAAATCCGTAAGTTTACCAATTGTAATTTTTTAATAAACGGTATAAACCTTTTTATCGTAGGTCAGTGTCTTATAAACATACATCAGAAATGGAAGAGTACTGAGCGGGTGTTTTCTGTTTTATGGGAAACTCATTTACTCTGTAACCAAAGAAACGAAGTGAACTTACTAAAGTTTGAGTAACTGAACCTAGATCTATTCGATGAAATTTTCTACCTTGATCAATTTTTGATACATTTCGACTCATCCTCAGGATGTTTAGCATACTGATGAGACAGAATAACTATTATTCGACCTGCCAGTTTTCAAGTTCACGTTTTTGAAATAGGCTCAGTGAAATTTTCATTATAATAGCACCAATGACAAGATAAAATGAATAGTGTTTAATCACAAGCTGACCAAGTTTACAGAAATCAGTTGACAAGGTTAACTTAAGTGGTTCAAATGTACACAGACGTATCCGAAGGCTTGAGCACCATACCATTCCTTTTCAAAGCAAGCCATCACTGAACATTTGAAAGAAGTTGTGGAAGAAGACACAACAACTATGGGTTATTGTCTGGCTCTACATTTTATGTGACCGATATCAGTTTCTTGTGCATATTCCAATGAGATCCTTCAATTAACATAGTTTGACAAGAATGTTTTTCATTTGCATGTCTTTTACCTTATTTTTTTTCATATTTCATATTTATTTTGCTATCCTCTTCACTTTTATTTCAGCGTAAGACGATTTGTCACTTTGTCGTCAATCTACGTTTCTTTGATCTATTCATTATGATTGTCATCGTGTCTAGCAGCGTTGCACTAGCTGCAGAAGATCCAGTCAGTGAAAATAGCACAAGAAATTGTCTACTGGAGTATTTTGATCATGCTTTTACTTGTGTTTTTGCTATTGAAATGTTGTTAAAGGTGAGTTGTTGAAAAGATTTACGATTAAAAGTTGAACTGGGTTGTACTCATTGTTGAAAAATGATAGTAAGGAGAACAAAAGTCATTCCTTTGTTTGAATATGATTATTTCTTGAATAGGTCAGACATTCAAGAATCTGAGCATTCAACAAGAAACAACGATTGTTAATATTTTCCTACCATGAGGAATCTTTCACGCTTAATTATTTCTCATTCTCACTTTATCACATTTCATAAATTACTTTAAATCCTTGATCTATTTTATTGCAATTCATTTTATCCAGTTGTTATTCGAACCCATTTGCTGTTTTAACAACTTGCATATGAAACACTCAGTTGTTAGGTAGTTGTCCCAGGGGATCAAGTGAAATAGTCTACATAAGTTTTAATTGATTGGAGGCAATCATCAGCAGTTTCTTTACCTTGGTTTTGCTTTTGCCGGCACTCAGTAGCAAGGCGCAACAACAGCCTGGACGAAATTAATGTCATACCTGGGATTCGAACCCGCATCACCCTGTGATGCGATCAAAGACGTCACCACTAAGCTTTTCTAGTCATAACTAGTCTCCTGTAGGATCTCCTATCTTAGTGGCCACACTTCAAAATAACCGATGGAATTCGGCCAGCCCTCAGGAGTAGACAACATGAAGTTGGTTCTTGTCCAGTGACCAGTCAATGGGTCTACATAAGTGCATAAGGGGTGGAGCATCCAGCTGTCATGAGAATACAAGGAAGGAAAGAAACTGAAATGAAGCATTACGCAGAAGATGCGGCAACCACTCGGATTATACTTGTGATAATAAAAGGTCGCTAACAATAATCAGGACTGCACAACTAGAACAAAAAGCAATTTGGTAATTGAAACTGGTAGTGAAGTGAACAAGGTTTTGAAATACAACGTCAGACATATAAGGTAACTTAGATCTTTCTTATCTTGAAGATCAGTATCCAAATTGTCTATTTAGTTTGATTCGAGAAGTATTCAGGTCAGCCAACAACAACAGCATCTACATTTTGTTAATATAAGTGATAACATTTATCGACTGAAATGACTGCTTTCTCTCTGAACAACTAAAGACAGCTAATTAGATTTACAGTCATGCTCGATCCAATAACAGTTTGCAAATGGTTGATAACATTAAAAAAGAGCAAATCCATCAGTAAAACTAGGAACTATATTTATTATAAGTTACTAATCTGTATCAAAAATCCAAATTACTGAAGCCCCCATACCTCACAGTTCATTAAAGGTTTTTCCCATGATTATTCCATTTGTGTAACGCTGACAACAGTGATTCTATTTTCCAGGCTGTAAAAGCCTTTTTTTGGTTATTGAATAGTAATCAATTTGAGTACACTTACAGAGGATAGACTTCTAAATTCAGACCATGACCGATAATAAGAGTGACTTTAAAGACCACCCTAGCAACTCCTGAAATGACAAATCAGGCTTCGATATTTCACCTGGGAAATTACTTCTCCAAAAGATAAAGGAATGTAATTAGCTATCTCATCAGTTGCTAGGGTGACCTTCAAAGTCACCCCATAATAATACGACAGCTTGTTTTGTCTTCTATGAATCATCTGTATTTTCCGCATTTCACCAAAAGGTGTGGAAAGTGGAAGCATTAGCGTAGAACTCGTCTCAATAAATCAAAACCAAGATGGTGCCTAACATTTTTGAAATAAAATGTAGATTTCCCATCTAAATTGTTCTCTGGGTTCAAGATTGGTAGATAAAAGTTTCAATATTATGATAGACATGCTTATCTACAAAAATTCTTAAAGGAGCCGAATTATGTGTGGATATCTGTTGATGAATACTTTCAGCTCAGAAATGACTCAGTTAACCATAGAATACGAGGTTTATCATAAGGTCCCTCCGTAAACTGAAGTTATTTTGATTGATACCTTTAGGAATGATCCTTGGTTAACAGAGAAAATAGCCGGGAAATTACACAAATGTGAAATGAAACCGTCTCCTATTTATGGAATAAAATTTATCGATAAAATACCTTAATTGGATTCAATAATTCTCAGTTCATAATACGTTGTATATTATTCTACCCAAAAACGTTTTACAATTCCGGAAGACAAATATTAAACTTTCACCTTTATATTACCTGTATGACACCCACAATAAAATTCTGAAATCTATGTAAACACATACTTGACCGGAAACAGCAGCTGGCGATTTTCCTCTCTTGGCCAAAATTTAACATTCAACAAACCTGGCAGAGGAAATGAATACAGTATAGCCATTTTAGAGTCAGTTGACTTCCTTTTAACTTTTCTGTCTCCTTCAGACTTTGAAATTATACATAGTACCTTTTAGATGACTGAATGCTTGCATTAATCACATTTATAGTTCACTATCATACTAAATAAGAATTCACTATCTAAAGATATAAATCTTCTTTAACTCTCTACCTCTTTAAACCATAAGGCCGATAAATTTGTTCCAATTTATGATAAAGAATTACAAGTGATAACATAGAAGCTGTACTCGCCGTATAAAGAAAGGCTATCGTGATTCGTCGCCCAGGGGATAACAGTGTGGTGTTTGAAGTGACTGGTATTATATTCAAGTTATAGTGGGGATCACATCACTCCCTAAAAGCCAGATATATCCAACTGACGAACCAAAACCAGAAAAAACCCTGTGTCCTAGATTCCGTAGTTAGCTACTAACCATTAGTTCTCCAGCCTACCATTTTATAGTGGTAGACTATCTGAATTTTACCCTGGAATATCTAATAAAGCTACAATAAAACAATGGAATGTTATTATGCTGAAACAAATTTGAGATGATTTAGTCAAATTAGGCTGCTTTATAAGTTCTGACACAGTGATATGTATTTCATGTAGCTGATGCAAAAGTACCATGAATAGTGTAGAAAAGAGACCACTTTTCCTTAAATATTCCTTCAAATAATCTACTTTCACTTGTTACAAAGCATATTTCGCTGTATAAAAGTGTTCTGCATTGTAAAGATCAAATTAGGAAAGATTAAACTTTTGCTCAATGACTTACACGTAATTGAGTTGACACATGTGGTAATATAGGAATAACTGGGTGCGTACTGCTGAGGAATCCATACTAGGACGAAACAACTGTCCAGTGCTCCCAGATTTTCAATGGTCCCCTAACTGATGTCAGTCCATGATAAATACCATTTCTAAATTAAAAATCCCCATTCATCTCAAAAGTGCATTACTGTATAGTGCTCATTAGTGACTTGCTTCCAGATGGATGTCAGGAAGTTCCAATGAGAAGTCGTGATCTGTGGGGTCAACCAGTCGGAAGTGAAGTGGATGCTAACTGAAGACCTTGGGTGACAGTCGCGCTATGTCGTGAATTGTTAGAAGTTTTAATTTGTGAACCACTGGAAACTAACCCAGTGGCTGAATGGTTAACGTGTTCACCGTGAAACTTGAAGGTCGTGAGTTCGACGCCTAGTCGGGTCGTGGGTGCGTACTGCTGAGGAGTCTCAATGCTAGGACGAAACAGGTGTCCAGTGCTCCCAGATTTTCAATCGTTCCCCAACTGATGTCAGTCCATGATGAATACTACTTCTATATAATCTGAATTGTTTGTTCAAAAGAAAAGCCACCAGTTAGAACATAGCGAAATGAAGTGAACAAGTTTTATTTCACAACATTCGTTGCTTTTTGCACAAGTTAATAAACAGTTATATGTCCATGAAATTCATCTACTACACCTCTGTATACAATCACTAAGCGTTATGGCCTTTCCGTGTACCAAGAGAAGTAATTTGGCTGAAGTTTTACGATGATTAACTGTACTCAGCAGATTGGTTAGTCAACTAATAGCCTAAAAATGTTCAACCGATAAACATCTTTAGCCATACGACAAAATCCGATATTGAATCAATAGAAATACTTGCTACAAAAAGGTGAGGACAAAAGCCAAATATTCGGCAAGCTGACGAATCTTCAGTACAAGATAAGCAAGACTTTCGCCAAGACCCAGAAAAAAAATCGCTTAAATTATTTTTTTAATTCGTTGAAAATGCGTTTTTGAAAGTCAGACGTGAAGAGGTTTTCGTATTCCAGTTTAAGTTTTGTAGGCAAAGAAAAGCCACCTACTAAATTCATTCGTGGATCGACCTGAAGTCTTCCCAGTCATCTGATCTGAGACCATGGGATGACAAAGGAAGAAAGGTTTAAATCTTACTTGATAGAAACTGCTGACACTGCATTATGTAATTAATTTTGTAGTCATCTTTCTGACCAAAAGTGCAATAAGCAGGAATATTGTTCACTTCTATGACCAGATAAACGTTTGGCCGAAAGTGACAGTGAACAGGCAAATTAACATAATCAAAATAAATTTGATTTCCGATTTCTCTTTAGATATTTGAAGTGAAAACTATAAGTTGTGACGGATTATTTAGAAAGACAAACCATAAAGAAACTTAGATAATTCTTGAGGACGAAGGTAAAAAACAACTTAAGTGATCGTCAAACTGCTGACTGATCTTAATACCAAGCTCCTGAAAATTCACTAGAATACTTTGCATTTTCTCCATCCAGGATTGCCACATTTCCGTAGTCAATTTCATATCCACAGCTGTCCATGTGCAATGATATGAACGAAGACACGTCATGACGCTTAACTGCTAATTGATGATGTTCAGTAGACGGATATGAAGACAGCGACGACCCTGTCTTATGTAGTGCTTATCACAGTTTCTGTAGTTTATTTTGTAGATAATATCTGGTTCGTCTTCCTCTGCCCCTATATCTTTCGAGTTGCATAACAGAGAGTGGAGATATTTTGTGGATTTGTTGGATACAGAGATTTCAAAAGGCTTCAATAATCTAGTTGTGATCTCGGAGACATTCTTCGTGTAAGATAGGACAATTCATTTGTTGGTTTTCGAGGTTAAATTCCTGGTTAATAACGAATTATGTAAACATCTTTTGATGAAGTTGCGTGGAAACCCATTCTTCTTGAAAACAGTCATTAACCAGTTTTCTTTTCTGTGTAAGGTTGCTGTACTACATGTGTCTTCACTCTTTTGAACAGCTTTTTTGAACAACTGGTTTTGTGTCCTCCTTGGCTGTTGCTATTGTAATTAGGGATTTGATATGTATGAGTTGGTTTTCTGTATTCTCCAGTTTCCAGTTTCTCTGAATCCCTTTCAGTGATCAGTGCATCTAAAATTACAAGCTTAGTATTTGATTAAGTAATTCGTTAATTATGCCTCATAACATACTTTCACTGCAACGGAAAACTCTACAAACAGACAAAACGAACACAAATGGGATCGCCTATATCAGGACTAATTGCAGAAGCAGTAATGTAAAGATTGGAAACTGTGGTATTGTCGTTGAACAAACCAAAGCTTTGGGTTAGAAATGTAAACGACACTTTGTCATCATCAAAAGAAACGAATCTGAAAACGCTTAGAAATTAATCAACAATATTTTTTATCATATCAAATTCACATTTGAAGAGGAGTCAAATAACAAACTTGTAACTTTAGATGCGCTGACCACTGGAAGAGATTCAGAGAAATTGGAAATATTTTGAAGAACATTGGATTTTTGATAGAACAAGATCATGATGAGGGATTCTAAACTTTTTATATTAGTGATCAAGATAGTATAAAATGTACATTTCAAAGATCTATTCATAGAAAGAACCACTATTTGATGTCCAATGACTTCGTTCAACTCAACTGTCAATAAGCACCAGCTACATCAATATTCCAGCAGACAAAAATAATCTGTTTCTCTGATGAATTGGCAGATAATATGGTTATCATTTAAAAATCCTTGGAAACAAAATGACTTTCCAAAGGGATCTGAAACCACTAGTTACTCTGATGAATTTGCTTAGTGTAATATGAAGATAGAATACATTGTGCAAATACACCACATCTCTCACATAACTTTCGTCTTCTTATTTCACTATGCAAATTATCCACACAGTTTATGAGACAATTAAATAAAACATTATGTAAAATGCTGCAATGATCAGAAGTGTCTAGCACATAAGTTAATTCATCTGTTTTGAACAACCTACTCACTTTTTATATTTTTGCTTGTATTATTCCTTCGTTTTTGAACCGAAGAGATCGGTCTCATTAGGCATGTGGGTTCCAGCGAGGATGTCTCGGTATTACTTGTTAATGTTAACCATGAATAGTGACCAGCAATGTAATCCGAGAGGTGCGTTTCGTCTTATTCAAGGCTTGTTAGTTGGATATGCCTGCCTTACTGTCAGTGAGCGATATTGTTCCTACTAAGACTCAAACCGAAAGTCAATGTTGTACTCGAAAATTGTCAGATATCCCCTTCTAGTTTATTCTAGATGAGTATACACATTGACTTGCGAATGAAAATAATTTTTTACCACTAATAGTGATCACTTAAGTACAGAGAGAAAAGTGACATTGGATCTTACGAGCATTTTATTGAATACCTACGGCTAAGGAGATCCGGAAAACCTCTAAGCATCTTTTAGACAAAGAAGAGAACATAGATACCTCAAAACCTTTCAAAATAATCAACAAATAACGGAGTAAAATAAAGAGATTGAAACTAAACTTCTGTATTCAAAGAAAAGCAGTTTTTAACTGTTCACTAAACTGATAACTAGTTTACAAACCCTCTGTTTGAATAGTTACATCTATTTTCATCCAACTTGTCACCTGTCCTTAAAATTTGATTTTATTCTACTTAACTCAATAAGCTGTGTACATCTTTACGCCTATTTATTACGCACCCATTTATTCAAGTAACATTTTTACATTGCACATCGTCCCTGTTGCCAGCCTTGTGGATTATCGTTTAACGAGAATGTTTCACTAACATACGCACGCCTTATTAACTTTAATAAATGAAGCTTTTATTCTTAGTAAACTTGTACTTGCGGAAGTTTTTCACTAACTACCTATATCATGAGCTCAAGTATTTTAAATCCAATATTAAAACATTGTCTTTTGTAAGAACCTGAAGAAAGCAGGTCCATAATGCTTGTCCGAGATCCCTGCCTTCAGTCCTTCTCTAGTTGTTGACAATAACACTGAAGAACTATATATGAATCTTATGACTTCATCTGAAGAATGATACCGCTCTGAAACTTCATCTGCACACCTATGTCCACAGAAACATTTTTTTCTAGTCTTATTGGTTAACGCAAGTGACTAACTATCAGTCATCTTTTATAACAAACAACAATAGGTTGGATATCAGTGTTGAATTCCATTTCTATGCTCTACTATTACTTACAGTTAATTGACCTCGGTGTTTTTCTACATCCATATTCTTATTGTCGTGACACATGGAACTTATTGGATGCAGCAGTAGTAATTGGTGCACTGATATCGTTTTTTCGGTAAGTTGAAAAGAGAATTTTCCATAAAAATAGTCTTTATTGAATTATTATGTGATTTTTCATTGAATTCTTACTATACCACATAGACATCTTTTCAAAGTTGACTAACCCTTGAGAGTTGCATGTTTACTGGCAATTATATGGGTTTCAGCATATGTCTCAGTGTCAACAGACATTTAAATATAAATAATGCAACTGAATTTCTAGCTAGAATTTACAAATACGTCTAACTGAATTCATCCTAGTCGATAGAAAATTAGGAACGTGTTTGTAATTGTACTTGAATAACTGATGCTGTCCTTCAGAAATACATGATGAAAGCTTCACTATGAGGTTTCCGAATTCCTTTTACAAACTTAATAAACATCAGTGGGTTGTTAAGTACAATGATAGAAAAATAACACAATTACACCTTGTGACTACCAATAGAAACTCATTCTTTTTCCACAGTGCTAAGACAGTGGAGAATATTTGTAGCTCAGGTGGATGGTCCTGGTTGTATAGCGTTCTCCGAGCTCAGAGAATGCAATACAACCAAGACAGTGCTGAGACTTTCATTCCTCCAGAGAGGTTTTCGAAACTTACTCACCAGCTAAAAATGCCACATATTTCTCATGTTAATCTGAACCCTACATTAGTCTACTCAAAATAAAATTTTATGAGAAGTGACAATAACACACTCTGAAAGAGACTGCTCAGTTAACTTAGATGGAAACCAAGAGACAGCCAGACTGTACTAATTTATCTAGTTATGTTTCTGCTACATAATTTGGTTATATAAAATGAATCATCAAATCACCTGAGACAGCTCCCTGAAAGTGGAAATACGCAACACTTAAACTGAAAAGTTCAGCTTATGGGTGAAGGAAATAAGTGGCCAAAAAAGTCAAATCGAGTTAAAAGTTATTTAGTTGATTCAATAATACAATTTATCTCAAGAATAAAAATGGAATGAGGTCAGACAATAAAATGAAATCAAAAAAACATATGATGGGAAAATAAGATGATAAAGGATGAACAGTGTGTTTTCACACTAAACTTGGAAGTAAAACGCAGTAAAGATTACCGATGAGTGCTACAGGTAAGAACTAATTATTTCTAATGCTTTAGAGGTGTAGAACTTTGGTATAGCTAAGGCTTTGATCAAATCAAGTGTACTCTCTCAGCAACTCTTACATAATAGTCTAAATGCTTTTTCGGGAACAGTGGTACGAAATGTTTCTTTTAGATAGATGTTCGCTAAATGACGATAATGTTTGTCTGCTTCTAGTATACATTGAATATTCGAGCGCAGGTGTTTCTGCAACTATTTTGGAACATGTATCATCATCTTCAACTTCATTAGAAAGCTTTCAGTGAGTTACACATGATAAAAGCTGATATTAGCCAATTACACTTCAACTACGAATACTTGTTGTAGACTTGACTAATCAAGATGAATCTAGCCTTAGCTGTCAGGATAGATCTATTTAACTATTGGTTTATGTTACAGTCACGCTAACTAAGCACTTTCTAACTCAGAAATGAAGCGCAAATAATAACCGATTAGAGATATGCGCAAAATGCTTCGTTTGATACCTATGAAATCTATTTTCGATTACGATTAATCCATGAAGCTCTGCCATCGCTATGGTTGCAACTCACACTACCTTGATTCATGTCCTAGCCTGATAAGATAACAAACACAGATGAATTTATGAGTCACAGGGGTGCTGAATAGTAATGAATTAAAGATAGGCAATATTTTTAGCCTTTTTATAACAATGATGATTGTAACCGATCCACTGAGTAACGAATTGGTTTTCTGCGTCTAACAATAGATCTTTTAGGAGATAACTGTATGCTACAGAGATTCAGTACCTCAACAAAGTTCAGTCAATTACATGTTACCAGTTATAGCTTACTTAACAAGGTAAAAATAAAGAAAATACAGTTTTCCGTAAACCAACACAACAAAGATCAACATAACCATCTTTCAAAATGCTGGATTAGCAGTGAAAATATCTGTTCTACTTGCATCAAATCCTTTAAAATATACAAAAAATTATGATTAAAGTGCCAAGTAATCGACTTACCATTGGAGGACACCGGAAAATGTCCCATAGCATATTCAATATTAAATGTCAAATTCTCGCGTTGAATAATAACATACTAGTCAACAAGCTGGATGGAGTAACACTATCCGTACTGGCTAGACGTTATCAGTATGCTTTTAAAAATGGCAATTAGACCCATTAACTGACTGAAAAACTGATTAGCTATCTACTAGTGAAACTGATAACCTCCGCTTAACCTAGTGCAAAGTTAGAGATCATGTTTTGTTTTACATTTTGGCATGAAATGATTTTTTTATTTTGAGCTCAAAACCATAAGGCTTCCTATAACTTTCTTGTTTGACTTCTGTTCAACTCACTAATTTGATCTGCCGGTATTCAAATGAAAATAATTAAATGGAATACTTTAAAAGCATGTACACTACCACAAAATTAAAGGGAATGAACTCCAGTTTTGTGTGAAAGCTATTTGCTAGTAATACGATAAAAATTGGCTGAAAGACAGTCACAATATTCTGTTAAACTCAATGTTCATCATTTATATGTTGGATAGAAAGTCAATTGATAATTTCACTAGTCACCTACTCTCTTTTACTCTTTTCCCTGAACTCTCAGAGGTATCGATCCCAAGTGTTAAATAGCCAATACATATGTTTAGAAATTTCTCTAGTTTTATCGGTCATACATAATCATCTTGAAAATTAGTTAAAGTAGAACATCTCTGATGTCATACCTTAGCAAAAACACTCAAGACTTATTTTTTATGTCTTTACATGAAGGTGAAGCCAATAAATCAGTGAATATTTACAAGGATTTTATTAGGGCTCACATTCCATATAATCCATCATGATCAAAGTCCTAACTAGTCAGAAAAGACATGAATAGAGAGTAAGAGTTCATGTGTCAGTTGTGAAAGACTGATTTTTTCAGGTCATTGACGGAGATTTACAAGCTATAATATCGAAAACTATACTATACTCTTCACACAAGGAATGATCATCATGACTCATTGGTTTAGTGGATAACGTTATGGTGTTTAAAGCGATTAGTCTTGGGTTCGACTGCTAGCAGCGACAACATCATTCACTTGGAGGTAGGTACATTCAGTTGACGAGTACCGAATAAAAGGAAACACCTATACTGGTTTCCACTGCCAGCCAGCTGTATAAATATATAATGTTTTAACTTATTCTCACCTAATAGTTAATGAATGTTAGTAAATCTGATGGCCAATTAATTTTTTCAGCATCAACTTTACATCATGTATTTACATTTCTAATTTATTTGAATTCTTACCTCGTTGTCGAAAATTATCATGTTTTGTGCCCGCTAAATTGAATGACTGTCAACAGAATTTTATTCAATTAAATTTTGAGGGGGTTGTGGAGATTTGGAAATATTTCAAGCTGTTATTCATCGAAGACTGACATCAGTTGGAGGAACAAAGGAAACCTAGGAGCACTGGACAGCTGTTTCGTTCTAGTTGGAAATATGGAGCATTGGATTCTGACCCAGTGGCTCAATGGTAACGCGCTGGTCGCGGAACCTGAAGGTCGCGGGTTCGATCCCTGCTGGTGGGGTCGTGGGTGCGCACTGCTGAGGAGTTCCATACTAGGACGAAACAGCTGTCCAGTGCTCCCAGGTTTTCTTTGTTCCTCTAACTGATGTCAGTCTTCGATGAATAACAACTTGAAAGAATTTTATTCTTCATTGTACAATGATTGACTTTAAATTATCTGGAAGTTGATTTAATTGTATAAGAGAGATTTATTTGATGTCCTACTTCCCGTATACTCATCACCTTTGGCCTTATAGTTTGATAAAGACAAAAATAATAAAAACAAAAAGTACAATCTTAAACGAGGTGAATATTTGTAGCTCAAAATGTAAATGTTCAGACTACAACTCACTTCGGACACCTTTTTTAGTTTTAGTCATGTTAATCATAAAATACTTTGTCAGGATGTTCTTAAAATATTTTCCCAGTGCTACAACAATTAACTTAGATAAAGTGATCGAAAATATCATAAAATTGTAATTATTATTACTATATAAGTATACAATTCACAACACAAAACCAGTTGTATGTTAACATTATTCAGAAGAGTGAAGATACACTGTAGTACAGAAACCTCAGGAGGAAAAGAAAACTATTTAATGACTGTTTTCCAGAAGAGCGGCTGTCGACGCGACTTCATCGAAAGATGTTCATATAATTCATCGTCAGCCAAGAAGTCATCTTAAGAGAACAACAAACGGATTGTTTTGCCTTGCATGAAGAATATTTCCTAGATCCCAACTGGAATTATTGAAGCCTTCTGGAACCACTGTATCTGACAAGTCCGCAAATTCTCTTCATTCTGTTATGCAGTTCACAAGATCCAATAGGAAAAGAAGACATCAAATAATCTCTAAGAAATAAATTACGGACACTGTGAAAAATACTACATCAGACAAAGTGATTGTTCTCTTCGTATCCATCAACATGAAAATCAACTAGCAGTGAAGTATCCTGACGTATCTTCGTTCATTTCATTGCACATGGACAACTGTGGACATGAATTCGACTGTGAAATGTAGTAATCCTGGATGGAGAAAATGCGAAGTATTCCAGCGAACTTTTAAGAGCTTGCCATCCAGGTCAGTCAGCGACCAACAGATATACTGAAACTGGCCCAATCTACCAACCAATAAGAAGCAACAAGAAGGTCAAAGTTCACGTCAGCAGGACAACCTGTAAAAAAATGAAGACAAAGGCAAGATTTTAGCAGGAACAATAGATCACGCCCAGATTTACAAAGACAAGCTACCAAGCCATTTGTAGATAAAATGCAACAGCCTTATTCCCCTTGAAGTTTGGTGTTGATGTTGTCTAGAATGACAATGAAGGCCTCACGATTAACCGACCAGTTTAATTAAACAAAATACTTGTATTTTGACGACTAAATGTGATGCAAAATAAGCATCATCATATGTAACCATTTAAGCAACCCCTCAGGAGTAAAAGCTATCACAAAGCTACTGAAAATCCATTGAATATATATCTTCAAATACTAAGTCAGATTTCTAGTATTCTCATCAATTATTGAACACATGATCTACAAAGGTCTTTAAAAAATTTCACAGAAATAGCTGCTAATGTTTTCCAAGCTTATAGAGCTTAGAGTTAATGTAGTCTAGGGGGGAATATACCATCAAAAAGGATTCCTTGGTTAACAAAATTCAGTGATCTTAGTTCTTAGATGGAAATGCCAACAATCTTGATCGTATTTTAGATAACTTCGGATAGAATGTTAACTTTTCAAAACAAAGTAAAGAAATAAAACTCCGAATTTCATTGGGATCTATATCTCAAATAGCATAAATTCATGAATAGTTTTCGTCAAAGATTCCTACCAACTGAGGGATTGTTTTTACCAAAGAGAATCAAGCCAGGACAAAACATTCATACAGTGGTTCTGAACCTCATTGGTTCGTCACGTAGCATCAACCTGAGATAAAACTACTTTCAGCTGCTTACACACCACCTGAATGAATTTCACTAAGGTCAGCTGTTTTATTTTTATAAGAGTTTCCTTTTGGTCAGTTTTCAAGTTCTTATTTATTACTGACTGACATCACTTGGAGAACCAAAGAGAACAAAGGAGCACTACACAGGTTATTCATACTGGTGTGGGGCTCCTTAGCAGTTAGCACTGGGGATCCCATCAGCGATCAACCCAAGACCTTTAAATTTGAATTACTGTACAGTTCTCATTAGTGATATGCTTCGAGATGAAATTTCCCGAAATTTTGATAAAAAGTTACGACCAACGGGAAAAACCATGTCGGATTTGATGACAGTTACTCACCGACAGTATTGGATGGAGGTCGTACTAAGTCACAAACTGGCGGAAGTATGAGAATGTAAATCACTGGGTTCCAACCCAGTGGCGACGGAATCTGTAGGTTACGGATTCACTCTATGGTGGGGTTATGAATACCCCATACTGAAGAGTCTCATCTAGGACGAAAAAGCTGTTCAGTAGTTTTAGTGGTTCTTCAGCTGATGTTAATCCATGATGAATACTAAACTGAAATCAACAAATAATTCCCCACAAACCTTAAAAGTATATCTTCTGTTTTTGTCTATGTTCTCTTCCTAACTAACAACACTTGGAACATAATGAAGAGCCTACACGCTGAAAGGCAAAGCAGCACATGGAAGCAGGTAAGTATGAAGGTAAACGCAATGTTCACTTAAAGTTCTTTGTATTCACAGTTTCGTGGAACATCTGATTAAAACATTTTTGCAAAATGATGTAAAACTAGACTGGTTTTCTTATTTAATTAACCTTACCAACAGATGTAATCAGCTTATGATAGAAAACTCAACTCCCCATGGCATTCTGACTTTTTATCCTACTGACCGCTTAAGAAAAACCGAAAGATATAATCAATTACTCTAAGGATAATTAACATCAGAATGAATTATTGTCGTACTTCCCAGTGGATGTTCACGCTACCTTTGAGATGAATGATAAAGAAACTTTTGAATCTTACTTGTATGTCACATCATTTGGCTAACACCAAATAAACGTTTTCATAACTTACACAATGGAATATTGGGTTGAATAGTAAAAGCTGTGGCTGCTTAGTTAGTGTTAACGTGGTTAAAAAGCTAAACGATGATTAAGATGCAGTGTGAACCAGTGTGTGACTGACAAAAATGGCTACAACCTGGGAATATAAAAAAATACCTTGGTAAATCAGCCATACTAAATGTCACTTATCAGTTGGTAGTGTATTAGGACAAAGAACGGCATCAAGTGACACTAAAGTTCACCTTAGCAACTGCATAAACAGTGTTTTTGTAAAATAAGGAAACGTGATTGGTCAGCAGAGTAGTCAGTCATCCAGAACGACCCTTAGAGTCATTGACAAAATTAACGACAAACTTCTGTTTTGAAGAGCAGATGTAACTTATTATTCGCATGCCATATGAATAATCAGCCAGCGGGTAATTGGGATAGCATATAAGGTTGTGTGACAATGATTTCAACCCCTGAAGATGGAATTGCAACATCAACACATATTTTGTCATTAACAACATATGCCTTAGGCGTGAAAAGCATATGCTAACCCGTTCTCACTTCACTTCAAGTGTAGTCGATTTACTGAGCTGTTGTGTCAGTGTTGTTGCATTGATTCCAATACATATTTATCACTTCTGTCATGTTTTCAGATGAGTAAAGATTGTCTGGGAAGACGAGTGTATTTCGCTGTGTAGAACAATTGATAAATGTCACTACATTAGCCAAGGATCTTAAACGCAAACACAAATTTAACCAATTAACACTGCTGTTTGGCCCTACCTCTTTATAAATAGACATGTAGTGACGAGACCTGACTATTTCTTGATCACACAACCATTTAATCTTCTATCATTCTGACTTATCGACCGATGATAGTACTTATCTTTAATGTCAAATTCATTTCATCGTGTCCTTGATTACCGGGTAGTGAAATGAATCTTCAAGTGACCACCCCAGCAACTGCTGAGATAAACAATTACCTTTTCTTACTTCATAAGAAACTACCTTTCCAGCCAAATACCGAAATGTGATTGGCTATTTCAGCAATCTTCGTGTATTCAAGGTGACACAATACAACGTATTATATAGGATTATTGACCCTACTCTACTATTTTAAGTCCATCGATTCCAAAGATTCATATGTAAGTACAGGTACCACACAGTAAACCTTTTCATAAAAAGTGAATTCTAAAAGAATTTACAGAAGGAATAACTTAAGTATCAGATGAATAGCTCTTGAAGAATATTTTTCAAGCAAAGTGAACAAGCACTCACCAACACATTGCTAGCAAGCCTCATTGGATTTTCGGTCCCAATTACAAGGATAATCGTCGGCGCTGTTTTTCTTTTTGCATGGGAATCTTCTGCAATAAATTTCTTTCGTTCAACTCAGAATTGAGTGTCGTATACTAAAATAAAGGTGATAACCATCTTTTTTCTATCTCGATAAATAAACTGAAATATATCGAGAGATTTAATTATCATACCGGGTTGCTTCACACTATAAAAGTCCGCAACATAATTGAATAACCGTGCAAAACACTAAAGATCTGGCGGTACTGTGCTGTGTAACGAGTGTAATCTATATAACAGTGAACAGCAAATAATCTCATAAATTAATCTACTCATCAGTCTGAGTGCTTTCTAACTACTGACTGTTCAGTAGTATATTTCGTTAGTTCACGAGACTTTTATCTCAGAAGTCACATCTTGTAATCTTCCCTAAGGGTAGTTTCCAGCGAAAATTCTGTTGATTGGTACCACAGTTGAGCAGCTAAAAAACTACTGAGCTGTAAGACGTTTCAACGTGGAGCGTACAATTTGTAAATTGATCACTCCAACTGAAAGGTTATATAACAGGATGTACAACTTGAGTCATCTTGTTAACAATCCAATAGTAGTTGCGAATTTATACCATTTTTCATTTCCAGAACAAAATGTTATTGTCACGTAGTAGCGACAAATTCTTAATCAGTTGTTCAGTTATGAAAAGTGTTTATGTATTACGGATTACTTATAAATATAATTTTTTCTTTATTCTGGTCGGATAGACAAGATATAACTTGCAGAATCCCAGTCAGGGCTTATTTTCCAGGTTACTGATTTAAAGATAAGTTTTTCAAGATTACACGTCCTGAGTAATCTTAATATTCAATTCAGGGTGAAGAAATCGAAATACACTTATCTAACTGAATGTTTAAAGCACTAATGTGTTTCAGTAATTCGGCAGCAAAGCCAAAGTAATTGAAAGATAATTTTAGCATTTATAAAACTGTGTCTTCCCATTACTGAAGTAACGTCTTTTTTAAATTAATTAATATATTTTAATTTTTCTTACTTATTATCAAGTAAAAATTTGAGCACAATTAAATCATTACGCGTACTTCGAGTTTTAAGACCCTTGAAAACTATCCGCAGAGTACCTAAGTTAAAAGTGAGTTTCTAACTTTATTCAATCAATCATTTTCGATACCAGTAACTGCTTTCTATATTTTATTATACTGAATTTAAGTGATAAATTAAGGCAATTCGATGAGAACCCACTTTAAAATGTTATGTCAGTTAGTTGAGTGCTGGTTACAAGTAGTGAGTACAACAAGTAATTTAAAGTAGCTTTGTGATTTGTTTGTTGGTGCCTAACAGGGAAATACCATACGTGCGTTTCGTCCTGTTTGAGATTTGTCAGCTGCACAGACGTGCATTCCAGCAAAGGTTGATTGATCAGTTCTGTCCAGAGTAATGACGTTAAATTGCGAGTATCAGTAAATAGTAATATCTGATACCTGTTGTAAGAGAGGTGGATCTCCTGTCTCAGTAGTCCCCTGGATAAAGCTGTGCCATTTACAGGGATGGATACTGGGTTTGAGTCTCAGTGAGGGCAGCGTCTTTTATTTAGTTTCAGGTACATCCAGCTGATGAGTTCTAAATAAGACGAAATGAGAATCCTGGATTCCACTTTTAGTCACCAAGATGAACATAACACCATGAGTATCAGGAGATATCGAGGCATCCATACAGGAGCCCATCGGTCAACAGAGGCTGAGCCTTCCGACCCTGTGCAACAACAAGAAATTACAAGTACCAAACAACAACAGACGACACCCGTTGCAAAAGTAGCGTCTCTCGTGCTCCAGTGGCCTAGTGGGTAAGGCCTTGGAGTTCAAAGCGATAGGTACTAGGTTCGAGTCTCAGAGGGAACAACAACACTCACTGGGATGCAGATGCATCTAATTAACTAATTCTAAGGAGGAAAAAGCACGAATACTATATTTCACTGTTAACCAACTTTAAGCAAATCATTTACATAGGAACCTCTTTGTCAACAGTGGTCTATCGATTTGATCCAGCATAACAAACAGAAGTCACAAGTACCAATAAATATGAAGAAGCGTTAAACTAATGTCGCTTCCTTCTAGTATTCAATCCTCAAAATCGCTTGCTAGTTTATTTGCAAGTAAGAACAATGACAAATAGACAAAGGTCTGCTCTTTCACACAGACTGCATCGATTTAGTTACCGGTTATATTCTAAATCATCTGCAACTAAACGTCAGTTAGCCTTGCACTTTAGTCTTCGTCTGGAAATCATGACTCATTATGCGAAGCCGATACTGAAAGATAATGCAAGTATAACCGACCTGTTGTCTATGCCAAAGAGGTATAGTTTCAGTTCTCAGGTAAGCTGTTTTCGGTCAAATTATAAGGATATTTTATTAAAATACTTTACTGTGCCCTCTCAGCTTATATTAAACTTTAGATAATTTTAGTCAGATGCGTTAATTTGCTTAACTTCTAGCTAAACAGTCGTCATTACTAGTAACTCCATAAAAATTCACTAATTCTATAACCTGAAGCAAACAAATACGTTAAGTATTCCCAAACTGGCTTTTAACTAACTTAGATAGATCCGAGGTTTTTATCCAACTATGTTTTACATCATTCTCAAGGGCTATAAATGATGTTGATATGCATTTTATCCAATCTACTGTCTCCAAGTCAATAATTCTTAAACAATTCGTAGCTTGATATCGTGGGGGATAATTGTTCGTCACTGGAGTGTTCTACAGAGTTTTAAAATATTTGTCCAGAGCTTCAAGGTTCTCAGTGGTTCTGTACCCGATGTTAGTTTGTACAGGAAGTAATCTTCAAATCTACCACTTACCTACAAGCCATTAAGCTGAAGATACTTCATTGTTTTCATATGGTTTATCTGAACTATGGAAGGTGCATATGTACGTCTGTTTAAACCAGAAAATGAGCTATCTTTGTAACAAAGTTGGAAGTGAAAAGGATGCATCCGGCAACTCAAACGTGTTGATTTGTGTGTGAAAGGAAAAAACATTCGTAGTCCTGAAAACTAAATATTTTCTAAGAGGCACTTATTTTCCTAAACAGAATCAAAAAGGAACCAGATTCACGGTAAGAAACCAACTAATGTTCTCTGAGTTAACATATTACGTATTGGTAATCATGAATTACAACCAGACAAATTAATCAGTCTTCGGTATTTCAAGCAATGATTATCTATTCATTTATTTTACGTGACTCCAAGAGTGAGTAAAGAAACGTTGATCAGCTAGCTGGCGTTTTTTTTCGGTAGTGGAAGCAAAACTGACTAACTGCTGTTAAGACTAAAAAAAATTCGACAAGTAGCATGATGCCCAGACTCAAAACAGTAAATTAATACATTTTTTGAGAAGAATGGGAATTTTTAATTTAGGAGTTGTATTCATCATGGACTGACATCAGTTGGGGAACCATTGAAAATCTGGGAGCACTGGACACCTGTTTCGTCTAGTATAGGACTCCTCAGCACTACGCACCCACGACCCGGCTAGACGTCGAATTCAGGACCTTCAGGTTTCACGGTTAACGCGTTAACCATTCAGCCACTGGGTTGGTTTCCAGTGGTTCACAAATTCAAACTTCTGACAATTCACGACATAGCGCGACTGTCACCTAAGGTCTTCAGTTAGCATCCACTTCACTTCCGACTGGTTGACCCCACAGATCACGACTTCTCATAGAAATTCCTGACATCCATCTGGAAGCAAGTCACTAATGAGCACTATACAGTAATGTATTTTTTAGATGAATGGGGATTTTCAATGGTTCCCCAACTGATGTCAGTCCATGATGAATACTACTTCTAAAGTAAATTAATAGTTTAGTGAGAAAACGAAGTTTATCTGAAGAATGCAATGTATTAGAGCTATGCATTACGAACAATCTGATCACATATGGATTCGTTGAATTATTTATATGAAAATTTCAGAGAAGAATCAAGTAAGTCAACAGGAAACACGGAAATTGGATAGGATAGAACAAAAACAAAATCTAAATCACATCACACTTTGTTACAAAAATTAATATCAATACTGCCAGGGTGGGTTCAAAGTGGGTACAAATTATTCGAGTATAAATATAGGGAATTCAAATCTACAGACCACTAGAGCTTGAATAAATCTAACCAATCGACCCTGACTAATTTTATGCACTACTGTAAAGGCTGTTTTATGTCTATCCTATGACTACTTTCTGGTATATTTTTGGCAAATTTATCGAGGAGACTAATCGCTTTAAAGTTAGTTAGTAATGTGAATATCAAATGTTTGATTTTAGGATAAGTCAGCATTATTTAGTTGGACATAAATTCTTGCAACTAGAGTTACCAAGAACAGCTTAGTCGGTGACCATTTGTAGGGGCAATTAGTTAGTTAGTTAGTTTTCGAATTGTTCGCCTCTTGTCCAATTTTCACTAATAAATCTCATCTTTGTTTGAATATTTATTTAGGCAGTATTCGATTGTGTGGTGAGCTCCTTGAAAATGTGTGCATCATCCTAGTTGTGTATATATTATTCCAGTTTATATTCTCAATTGTTGCAGTCCAGTTATTTCAGGGGAAATTCTTTTATTGTAATGATTTATCAAAACTTACAAAAGAAGATTGCCAGTAAGTCAATAATAGTTAATGTAGTTTACAGTTGTTTTTTTCTATTGTCCTTGATTAAATGATAACTGAACAATTTTTTAAGTAAATTGTGGCGGTTCGGAGAAAGAAAAATACAACATAACGAAGTGATACTTAAGATTCAAGCTTATTAGTTCTCATTGAAATTGTCATCAATAAAACTGTCGAAATTCGTTTTCTAGTGTATGAAGCAATAAATAGAGTACGATAAAAATACCCAAATGACCAGTAACTAGATCATATCGTCCTATTCCTATTGACATTTTTGGTTTTCCAAATCAATACGTTGAAGGTGAACTTTTTGGCAAAGATACTTTAAATCACTTTACAATACTGAAAACATTTCAAAACACAGGCTGATATATATATATATATATATATATATATATATATAAATTCCTATGTAAATGCAAGCTTGGGATTTCGAACCAAGTCTAGTTGTGCATGACCGTTAGCCTCCTGGTGGCCCTGCTGGATATCAACCGATACACTGTCTGTGTTGGCTCGGCGGTAAGCATGGTCGACGAGATCTATATGCTCTAGACCAATGTCACAAGTTTCCAAATCATAGATGACTCTATAATCCATAAGGAATCCACCAATGCACTGAAAGCACTGCAACTGCAAGGTAAAATAAATCCAGCATCCTAATTCAAGCAGTCATTCAAACAGTCTCTAGAGATCAGGTGTAGGTAGTTCAACTGGCATAGGCGAGGAGTATGCGGTCAGGAATATAGATGTTGTTAACCGTAACCTTGACTATATTTCAGTAACCTGAAAAAAGTCACGGTAGTAACTGTGTAGGCATTACGTAGGTTCATGGGCCCGACCTCCCAGAGGGTGAGCTACATTTAGGTCTGCAAAGTTGTAGACTTCAATGAGAAGCGTTTCATGGAATAAGGATGTGTTGAAGCCTGACAGTTATTAGGGTTCTGACATAACATTGGTAATTTTGAGAGACAGTAACAGGATTGTGAGATAGGAAATCTGTTGCTTGGGTGCTTCCTGCTCAGATAATGGAGTGAACCGCAAGGTTTGTGATGTAACGTTCTCAAATCAACCTGGAATATGCAGCTGAGCTGAAATTCAAAGCGAAATCTTAGGTATATAGTAAATCCCGTCAGAATATGATCGGTATTTAGGCATGACAACTTGTGTACGTGCATCAGATCTCAGGATTTCTGCCTCATAAGCCGAACATATCTTCAGTTCAACTCACGTAGATCAAGAAATTTAGCAAAATTATTTTCAGACATAATCAAAACATGGCATCATTTGCTCTATTGTTCACTTGTCATATTACTGTCATAGAATAAAATGCTAAGAATAATACAAACCTGATAAACTGAGAGAATTCCAACATGTTCTATTGATAATTAAAATCTTCCAGAGTAGCCTTAACTCCATTATTTGTGATTTTTCAAATTGGTATTCATCATGACTGACATCATTTGGAGGGGCAATGGAAACCTAAGAGCACTGGAAAGCTGTCTTGTCCTAGTATGGAACTCCTCGGCAGTGCACACCCATGACCCTACCAGGAGTCGGACCCAGGTTTACTCTGTGGGGACTAGCAGTGGAATCCATAACATACGTTTCTTCCCGTCTAGAACTCGCCAGCTGATTGTACCTCCACCCCAGGGAGTGTTGGTGTCCCCACTGAGACTCAAAGCCAGCACTATTCTCTTCAGACGTAAGGACGCTAACCGTTAGGCTACCGAGGCATGAGAACCACCTCCTCTGAAATGCGTATCAGTTGCTTTTTATAGTTACTTGCAATTTCCTGTTACCATACTAAGTCGAACTGCTCGATCTTTGTCACCAGATGGGCTTCTATGAAGATGCCTCGACACGACCTAAATATGTTATTATTGCGCGTCCCGTATTCTGCTGCTAGCTACCGCGAAGTAAACTAAAGCATAGTGAATATTCATGCAGTATCGGAGTATCTGCATAGAAGCACGTCTCCTAAGTGAGGTCAAGAAATCCAACACAGTATAGCAACAGGAAACCAGAAGTTGAACTTCATTCACTCTGTATATTTTAAAAGTAATGTTTTTGTATCACACTTTGACTTAAGTAACAGTACAACTTTAGCCATGTATCTCAACTATAAAATATAAAAATTGCTTCCAGCCAAAAGGAGTCATTTTTTTAACCTGGATAACTTTCAGAGTTTCAGAAGTTTCTTTAGCGATTGGATTGGTTTTCCGGGGTTGCGCTGATAGCCCTATGCCCAACTTTCCTCTTTATCTGGGCTTAGGACTGGCTAGTAACTAGTGAACTAGTTAACCAGGTGAGGTTATGGGAAATATCCATTATTGTAAAAGAAAGTAGTTTTCAACAATATTTATGAAAAGTACGTGGAGTAACAAGAAATGTCTTACTGTCCAATATTTAATTAACCAAACTATTATATCAATGACAAAACCTACCACAAATTTCTCATTTTATGAAGAAATTACTTTGCATTATTACGCATGTAGCTGAAGTGTTGCTCAAAGTTAACAAATATATGACCTTCCATAGAAATGGAAACCATCAGTCAGACATAACCTTAAGCATTAGGAGTATTTTATTAGTTTACACACGTCTTAATAAATGCATTTTATTCAGTGTCACACTGTTCTCACCAACACTGAAAGAAATGGCGTAACCATGAAGTTAAGTGATACGACATCATACCACAATATATTTGAAATGGATTTCCTCAACAAGTTTTAAAATTTCACCATCGAAAAATTTGATTTTACTCCTCATTACCAACTTTGATCGTATGTGCTTTGAAGTGTAAATATCGCTTTTGTATAACTGTCAAAAACCCTATGACAATGCACGAAAAGACTTAAATATTTTATCTTATCTATATTTTCATTCTTTACAGAGGTTACTTCTTTTCATATGATGATAGTCTTTCACCTGCTGTGAAGGCTCGAGTATGGAGTTCAAGAGATTTTCATTACGACAATGTGATTACAGCTATGCTTACATTATTCACTGTTACAACTGGTGAAGGATGGCCTGGGTAAATTTAATCCTCTCTGTCTCAAGTTGATTTGGTTTACTGTTCATATGAAATCCTAAAAAAAAAATATCTTGTAGATCAACAGACACAAAGAATGCATACTATATTGCCTAACGTTTTTATATTGAAAATAAGTTATTCAACGTATTAGTCATCAAAGTAAGCTACCATAATGCTAGTGTTTAGAAAATCAAAACAAGATATTTCTGCTTGTTGACTTATAGCATTCGGTTTTCTTTGTTATTCTGTGAGCTAAAACACCCAGTTTTCAGATGATAACCAAAAGAAATATGGAAAACTTAGTATTTTTATTCAATTCGGAGTTTTGTGAGGATTTATTGATTTCAAGTTGGTATAAATCATTGGATTGACATTAGTTGGAGGAATATTAGAAAACTAAGAGCACTGGAAAGCTGGTTCGTCTTAGTATGATACCCCTAAGTAGTGAGCACTTATAACCCCACTAACGATTTTTCACTACCATTAATTCCCTGACTACATTAAGTCAGTCGGCGATATTCACATTACACAACCAGTAAGATATAATTTAGGGATAAGGTAGTGATACACTTACTAAATTGGTACTATTCGCCAACTCTAGTAAAGTTCACACTATGAATAGATTGTACAAGCTAACAGAATCCCATTCCCTGAAGCATAGTGTAAAGAATGTGTACTGGTCTTTAAAAAGTAGTCCACACTTAGTTCCTTCTTAAAATTTTATTTTATTTATATTTAAGACGAAAAAGCACAAGGTGGTGAAAATATTCTTCCTACTCAAGTAAGATTCTCTCCTTTTAAAATTATTAAATTCACAGTCAGTGGTAATTAATGGTAACAATGAAGCCCAGATATCTAAAGCAACTTAGTTGGCAGGCAGCTGAATGAGGATTTCGATGAGGATCACTAAGATGCACCTACAAAACATGATAGTACAAACATCCAAAGATTTTAGAGAAACTAAGAATATAATCAAGTGTGTTACGAAGAAGAAAAATGCAGTGAAAAGGAAGAGCTGTATTTGAAATAAACAATGGTAAAAACCAGGAACATTATATTGAAAAAATTAGCTGTACTCTGTGACTTGTTCCACGAACGCATCAGCGAACGGTTAAATATCACAATGTTCCCTAATCCATTTCGATGAACGAGGACAAATACAGACACTCATGAAACTCGGAGATTTTGAAACGCCAGATACAGGAAATACAAAGAATATCAGAGATTTCTTACACGTACCATATTCAAGTTGGTCGGTGTTCAGTAAACGCATGCAAGAAGACCCTGTCTGTCAGCAGAAGGGAGACATCAAGAAAAAATACTGGATAGCAGATGAGGGTAGTAGAATACTGGGTGATGATTGAAGGTGAAATAGAAATCTGGACCACAATGGAATTTCAACCAGCATCCACCGGGTTTCCGGCCCGGTACTCTACCAATTGAGCTACGAAGTTCAACTGCTGACCAGATTTTTATTCTTATTTTACTTCGGTCACCAAAAGTTTCGCTTAACTAACATGTGAATTCGTGACACATTACTATCGCTTGATCGTACTCACACTGGTTGCCTATTCAGGACTTATCATCCCAATCGAAATCTAACTGAATTAGAGGGGGCGGGGCATTTCTGATTATCATTTTGACTATTTGACACAGCTATGGTTTGGCGGACTAGTATTGATAATAGATGATGATTGAAAGTGAAATGAAAATTTAGACCGCGGTCCGGATTCGAACCAGTGACCACCAGGTTTCCGGGCCAACGTTCTACCAAGTGAACTGAGTGGTCCGACTGCTGAGCAGATATTTTTATTTCACTTCAATCACCAGTAAAATAGTCAGTAAGATTTGTAATTACACACTTGAGAAGAACTACTCAGGATTTTGATCATAATGGTTTTCGGAGCCCGGCTCTCGTTTGCTGGAATCACCATGTGACTAATGTTGGGGTAAGGCGAAGGGTACTAGACAAAACAGGCAAGTTGATTGATGGAGTAGCGGAGGTTAGTTGACTATGATGGCTTGCACACGTCCTGCGTATCCCGACTCACTACCTACTTTGGCGTGCCAAGATAGGGGAAGTTGGGTTAGGTAGGAAGAAGGTTTAAGGTAGACATAATGAAACATGGAACCAATCGATGAAGTCCCTGAATATTGGTCTGAGTAGTGTGGGGAAATGTGAACTGCCTGGTTAAAGTTCTTGAGACGATAGAAATCAGTGGCTGAGGGTTCCTGATGACATGGTTGAAAACTGGTCACAATGATGGAGATATATTCACCCCTCAATATCTTATATGCTTAAAAGGCTTACAATTAGAACATCTAGCTTAGGAAATGCAATACAGTGATATTAACCAATAGTACGTCATTTCAAGTATAGAAAAACATGTCAAAGTTCAAAGATCAGCTTCCGTATTTTCTTCAAGATTTAATTATTGCAATGATAGATAATGGCTAGCAGTGGAAGCCAGGATGGGCATTTCATCCTACTTGAGACTCGTCAGATGGATGTACCAGCTAACAGAGACTGACCAATTCGATCCAATCAACGACGGTGTAATACAAGCAATAACATTGAATGATCGTCTTAAAATTGATGTTTAATATTGGGTAGAATATACAGTCCTCAGTATTTTTACTACTGATACTTAGCAGTGTCGTCTATTTTTTTCATGAAAAACAGAAAGTAAATACTCTGACATTCTAGACACTTTTTGCCGTCTATTTATAGATGAAACATACTCATGAAATTGTAAATACACCCCAGTTGTCATAGCAACAAACTTCATTTTTGAAAGAAAAGAAAAAAATTATAAAAATTGAGTTTTCCGAAATTTCAATTTATTTTCATTAGTTAGATATTGTTTAAAAATAAATTAATAATATATGACAAAGATGGATTTAATCTTTAGTGTGAAAAACATCTAATCGATGCTAGCTTCATCAGTTTCTCCAGTCACCATATTACACACAATTACTATTATTAATGATACTATTGTTATTATTATTGTTACTGGTACTGCTATCGTTTCATATCATGATGGTAATAATTCAGAAGGAGTTCACGGGTTGGATATACCTGTACGATTTTAGTGAAGTTGAATATCTTGTCTAACTGATCATTAAAATACACTGAATAAGAAAGGTAGCATTTATTCCTTTGGTTATTTATTAGAGACCGAAAAACCTGTTAATCAGATTGCTCGATGAAAACTGAATTACACTCCTTCAAGAATTCATTTAATTCTCTGTTTTTTTATGATGATAATGATGGTCATGGTGGTGGTGAAAAGACGTATTCTCCGTTGCCTGAAATCCTTTTAGCTAATTAAACTAAATGAGTTAGGGTGAATAAAGTTGTGTTATTCTCATAGTGGTATGTAAAAGTAGACTAACGGTGTAAGATAAATAGGCATATGGACTAGGTTTGGTCAGTGGGGAAATAAGGTTCATTGTCTAACAGTCCATTAAAACAACAGGTAGGTATGAACTTAGCAGTGTTGTTAAAAATTCTCTGAGCATAAAATTATTCCCAGTTGACATTCGTCACTGACCGACATCATTAGGAGAACCGCTGAAAACCTGGGAGCAACAGACCGCTGTTTCGTCCTAGTATGGGGCTGCTCACCATTGCGCACTCATGACCTTGCCAATGGTTGAACCTAATACCTACATATTTCCCCACGAACAAGTTACTATTGAGCCGCTGGGTCGAAATCTAATAGTCCGGAGTTCCCTACTTCTGTCCATTGCCCATTAGTACCTTGTTTTGAAGTGAATCGTGGCCAGTAAGTTGAACCCAGCCGGACGCGAGGACTGGTACTCAGACACTCAAATCCCTCGTAGAGTCATGGGTGTACGCGGCTGAGGAGTCCGTGGTCAGACAAAACACCTTTTCAGTAATTACAGGTTTTTGGTGGTTCTCTAAACTATGTCAGTTCCAAATAATCCCAACCTGAAATCAGTGAATAAAATTTTTTTTATTCAATTTTTTATTTCACAATCTCTGAACCATACCATACGTGATAACAGACTACCAACTGCTTGTTAGTTTAACTAGAAATTAGTCATCTCACTTTATGCAAATCATAAATTTACACCTATTAGTAGCTTGAATCAAACTCATTGGCTGAACACTGAAAAAATGCAATGAAGAATTAGCACGCTTGAATTTCATATTAATTTGTTTATCGGATAATTTGCAGAATGACATATTCCATTTTAGTTGATCTGGATATGACTATGGACAATAAATCATGTCCGAAACGTAATCCAATAAACAATACTGTTCCACTGTGTAATACATCTAGTAGATCAACCAAAATGAAATTGTAGTCTACCATAGTTCTCAAGTTTTACTCTTATATTAGAGTGACACATTATTTATGGCAGTACGAACACACCTTTGACATGACTGTCAACAATGAATTGTGCTGGCGGCATTATTCATTGAATAAAACTGTTCCTTTGTACAAATTATCCAAAAATCAATTTTAAATAGCCTAACAGATTACCACGCTGGCTAAGCTGTAGTCTCAGATTAATAGGAAGCTTTAAACTGAAAAGTTTAGAATCCGGAAAAATTATCCATTAGGTATCACTTCCGCTCTTCTCTAGTTCTGAGACACATGATGACATGAATACTATGTTAAATGGTTCAATATTTATGCTAAACATATGATGGGAAATACCATTCTTATAGTTTACCTGTATAACATCAAAGCGGCTTATTTAAATTTTGGGTCATCAAAACCTCTTGGAATTGTTCCTTTTATTACTTCTTTTGTTCATTAAAATGTCAACAAATCGTGAGAAGTAGTGTCATGCACTCTTAAAATCTCTTCAACCTACCCTTAGTCAAATTAACAACAAAATTCAGAGAAAAAATATTGCAGATAGCAATGAATTCCTGAGCTTACAACAGTACATAATATAGCTGTTAAAGAAATAGTTAGTTGAAACTGAAAATTTCCATGAAGGTTGAATGAACCTTCACTACCAAATCTGTGGACACCTTTTTATTCACCCCCCTTCCCTCCTCTGAGCAACAACTCAGAAACTCGACAACAACCTAAATACAACCGGTCTCTGTGTATTATCGCTAGTCATAATGTTATTATTTACATTATTTAACTTCCATGATTATTTAATTTAAAAAATAATGTACAAGGAGTAAATTTGTTGAAATATTACTCTAAGAATTCCATAATATATCAAAAATTATTGTTTGAAATACAGTGGATATTATTATTTCTTGAATTATCCTGTTGTTATTTAGCATTCTGAAGAATTCAATGGATGCTACTGAAGTCAATCATGGTCCTGTAGAAGATCACAGTCAACAGATGGCAATTTTCTACATTATATTTTTCATTGTTTTTCCATTCTTCTTTGTAAATATCTTTGTGGCCTTAATTATAATTACTTTTCAAGAACAAGGTGAAAATGAACTAGTCGATCATGAATTAGATAAGAATCAGGTGAGTGGATGAAAGCAAGTATTTGTTACATTCATATCTTACTACTCATTAGTAGATAAATTTAAACAGATCAACACAAGTAGAGATTATTACTATTATGGTAATAAACCCTATTAGTCTAAAATAATGGTGTTTCCCTCCGCTAATATGCAATCTCCATTGTAGAATTTATGTCTGGACAAAAGCCTTACTATACTTTCAAATTAGCAGGTAACGAGTAAGCAGTCAACTGGCTATTGTGTTTACAAATAACAAACATAAAAGGAAACATAGATTAGTGAAGCTATCTTGATTGTGTTGCGTTCTTTGAGTTGGCTAGCTTAATTGTGAAACTTTCATCGTATTTCTGGATGACTTCAACATCAAAGATAGTCTTGGCGATGTTATCTAGAAAGACAACGAAAGCTCGGTGAGTAAACCAATCAGATTAGACAGCACAACACAATCAAAATCATCCGTCTGAGTTACAAATATTTCCTGCCATTTCAATTAATGAAGCTGTGTTTAGACACCTAACGATGGACATATTTTTCCGTCCTTTATTGCTGTATTCTTTTGTTGTATCGAGTAAAGTGACTTATCATAGTTATATGCAATGAGACTTCAAGGCATCTAATCTTAGGTAGAATAATATTAGAATGAAATCGCCGAAAAAACCCTTTCACTGGACTATTCACCGTTTTCTAATGAGTCCTGATGGCAATGTTTTGTAAATCCCCATTCTGATAACAAATTAGATTTCATTTTTTCTCGAAATTGTTGAACTTAGCCTACAGCTATCGTAAGACAAACATATTTGCAAAACTGTTTATACTATTATGTTATCAAGACAGTAAAATGTGTGGTAGATACCTAGCATAAGAAGAACTAAAGGCGACACCTGAAAGTCATCTGACCGACATGAAATAGTCATCAGAGAGTAACAGGTATGACTTTCATGATTCTAGTTTTGAATGAAGCCTCATCGGTTTAATGGGCTAACTTTCAACCAATGAGTTGCAGGTTAGAATAACGTTACACCTACCAAGTCTTCATACAATAGATGTGGCTCACTGCCAACTGCATGGATTTGCAAAAGGCTACTGAGTGGATTTTTCAAGTCGAATTCAACCCAACAGTTCTCTCGTATATTAATGATGGATCGTGGCTAGCAGTGGAATCTAGGATGCGCATTTCGTCATACTTGAGACTCGTCAGATGGATGTATCTGCTTCCCAGTGAGTGATGTAGTTTCCACTAGGATTTGGACTCAGGAGAGATCGGTTCAAGCGCTGGAGCGTTATCCACTACACACCCAAGCCACGGTAGCCACCTCTTGTGCGACGGTTATAGTTTTAGTGTTACTGCTTGTATTATACCGGCACTAAGTGGACCAAATTGATCGGTCTCTATTGGTATATGGTCTCCTGTGAGGAAACCTCAATATTACCTGTGTTCTAATTATATTATTGATGGATCATGGCTAGCGGTGGAATCCAGGATGCACATTTCGTCCTATTTGGGACTGCTAGCCATGATCCATCATTAATACAATTAGAACATAGGTAATATAGAGGCATCCGCACAGGAGCCCGTATGCCGATAGAGACCGATCAATCCGGTCTAATCAAAGACGGTGTGATATAAAACAATTTTACTAATTCTCTCGTATGACAGTAAAACTAAGCTATATAACATCATTTTAGTAGTCAGTCGGTTAGTTATGCTGAACCGAGGTTGCGTACATGAGTTTTAATCCTGAGTCGGTTGAACAAAGTGTGAGGAGAGATGAAAAATGTTTGAGACCTGGTCAGATGACGCCAACAAAAGAAAACACAACTTTGATTAATGTCAAAGATTCGCAGAGGTGAACTAATATTTTGAAAATGTAATTCTGACTTTAATCACCACGATATTATAACGGAAATTATTTAACTAATACTGTATGCATTTAAAAAATTTTATCAATGTGATTTTCGAACTATTTCAAACAGTTTCACACAGTAAAATTTCATTTATTTGAATTTATATGATGAAGTTATTGATACTCTTTCACACAAATCAACTTTGAAATATTAAGATTTTCTGAGTATTTACTACAAGGAGATCATTTAATTAGTAATATTATATGCAAACAGAAATTACCAAATGAAAAATAAAGCTAAAAACAAACGAATATATTAATAGGTGGATTGAAAAATAAAGTTACTACTTTTACTTGATAGTAGTATTCACAATGTAACTAAAAAAGCTTGACAGACTAGGACTGCTACACCTGATGAACATTTCGTTTGCGATATGATGTTAAATTTCAATCTACCGGTCAACTGGACATACTGTACGCATTACATATTTCATTCGGTCGAACAGACTTTTCGTATTCGTTACAACACTTAACTTATTTCAGCTGAAAGATAAAACCTTCAGTGAACTAAGCTGTGTAAATGAACAAGTGAACATTATTACAACAAGGTTAAGTCTTTTATAAATGATAATTTTAGGTCATCTCAACCCTTTGAAATATACCAGTACATGATGTTCATATAAATTCTACCACTATTCTGTAAAATCTAGTTTCGGCTTATGACTTTAAATAGTTGTTACCTAAACAATAACTAAGTGCCATTTCCTATTTATTTAAATTCTTAAGAATATCATGTAAAAGATACGCAGTCGTAATGAATACGCTATGAGTATACTTATATCTTGATTATATGTTCAACCGGTCAATTAGTGGAAAACCAAAAGATGATGGAATCAAGCCATTAATAACAAATTGAACCTTAACATCTGGTAAACGGGATAGAAAAATCTAACTGGACTAACTCCAGTGTCCACTCTTTTGAGTGCTAATGTGACTAATATTTTCTTTCGAATCCAGTTATCATTTTCATGTATCTCTTCCAAGATTCTCTTAAACAGTTTATTGAAGGAAATGTAAATGATCAGTGGAATAGGTAGATGATCCTCAAATCCATACGGAAAAGTTTTGTCTATCTTCATAGTTTAAACAGAATACTATCAACAGAAACAGAAATTCAGATTTTACACAAGAATGAACGTTTACTATAGTTTATAGTTTTCTGTTGTTGCTTTGTATGAGCCAAAATGGTTGGTCATTATTACTACGTACAAACTACATGGATTCTTGGATATTGTCAGTAATTCCATTTTAATACCAATGATACATGTTTGCCGACAGTGGAATCGAAGATATGCACTTCATCCTATTTTATGCTAGTCAGTCAATGTACCTGTAACCAAATGATCGTAGCTGTTCCAACTCAGAGTCAAAAGTAGCCCCAACAACACTGTATTTATATGCCTGAGAGGTTATGATGCCTTTTTTTTACCTCTTCCAGATTGTGTTGTAATAATCAAGTCCAGTTCTACTAATTTTTCACAAGTTATATCACTCTTTACTAAAACCTTAGTTATTTTTTTCTCACTATCTTTTTTACCTTTTATAAACAGAAACAATGTATTGAATTCGCAATCAATGCAAAACCTTTGTGTAGATATATGCCGAGTAACACTGCATCGACTAAATATAGAATATGGAGATTAGTTGTCTCAAGTCCTTTTGAATATTACATAATGACAATGATTGCATTGAACACATTGATATTGATGATGAAAGTAAGTCAAATAGTACACTTTTTTTCATAAAACGAATGCTTTACATTTTCATTTGTTCTCTTAGCTTGTGTGTTTGTCACTGATACCTGAATGCAAACCAAATATCTGTAGTTTATAATTTGAAAGGATTCAAAGTTGCACTATCTGAAAAACACCATTTACATCCATTTAACTCAAAATTTACCTTCTTTAGTAGCACGCAACAGGTTGTAACTCAATAACATTGATACTTTTTATTGTTATTCGCACTTGACTAAAACTAAATTCCTCTTACATATTTCAGGAAACACTTATCTGAAATGCAATGTCATCTTAATAAAAATGTGTAGATCTACATTTCTGCATACCAGAATTGCTTAAAACCAGAAATTCAACCTTTTCCTCTCGAGGTTCATGGATCAGTTGTCCAGTAGTGTTGGAGGTATTCGTTTCGTCCAATATAGGACTCATCAACTGGAAATATTTACACGTCATCATGTGATCGCATTCCTAATGAGACTGGCATCAAGTATCCTCCGTTCCAGACAGCAAAGCGATGATTGCTAGGCCACTGAAACGTGAGGCCCAACGTTTTTACAACTAGTATTACTTGTCAGTGGCTGAGACTTGTAATTCCCCGTTAGCATACTGGGTCGAATTATCCAACCTCTTTAGCGGATGGGCTCCTATACGATATGTCGATACTACCTGAACATTCAAAATGTTAATGTCGTCTCTGTGGCATAAAAGATAAAGCTCTGGCGACTGAAGCAAAGGGTCCTAGGTTCAGTCCTTAGTGGTAATACCTCCCTTACTGGGGTCTGCGTACATGCAAACGATGAGTTCAAAATTTGACAAAACGCCCATTCCAGTTTCCACTGCTAGCTACCAAATAAAACTACTACACAACGAATGTCCAGGCAGTATCAAGATGTCCGCGTAAAGCCAATATACCAACACATGTAGAGAATTTTAATCCAAAGTAGCAACAGAAAATTAGAAGTACCAATATAAGCCTGTCCTTCACTACTGAACATAAACACACAGTAAATGAAGTCATGTGCGGATCAAATTGCAACGATACGCTGCACTTCCTCATAGAACAGAGTACAGAATAGCAGTCAACTCAACTGAACCTCAACTTCATTGACTTTGAAAAGGCCTTTGATAGTGTCGACCAAGAAGTAATTTGGAAACTGCTTCAACACTACGGTTTTAGTGCCACAAACCTTTACCAACCTCATTCAACAGCCATATGACGATGCTACATGCCAAGTGCCTCACAATGGAAAGCTAGGTAATACCTCTGTGGTGAAGAGAAGAGTAAGACAAGGTTGCCGTCTACTATCACCGATCATCTTCTTGATTGTGGTTGACTGGACTGGACTGGACTGGACTGGATAATGCAACGAAAAGTGAGGAGCGAGAAGATAGGCATACTCTGTTTTACCGATGAAAAGACCCTAGAAGATTTGGATTTTGCCAACGATGATGATTTTGTCTAATGTCATGTCGCACAAACTCGAAGATCTAAAGGCGAAAACTAACAAGTGGACACAATAGGCAGGGGAAAGAAGATGGGACTTCCTTCACGTGAACGTAGAGAAGACAAAGGTGATGAAGATACCCAACCAACAATGACAACAACAACAGCAAGCAGTAATCACCATCAACGGGAGAAATCTAAAGGAGGTTGTCTCTTTCACCTACCTACCTACCTACCTAAGCAGCATCATTTCAACTATAGGCAACAAAGATGAGGACGTCAAAGCAAGCCACGATCGGAAATACAGCAAGATAGACCTTCCTGCATTAACCTGAAATCAGTGTGGAGATCTACTGCACTCCACACCACTCCACTCCACTCCACTGAACTCAGCATTAACAACAAGATCCGGATTTTTAACACTAATTCAGTCAAGTAAGTCAGTGCTTCTATGTGATGCTTCACAGACTTGACGCGTTACGAAAAGCATTCTCAACAAACTGCACATACATCAATAGCTGCCGCCTACGCTCACTCGATACTGACACTGAAAATCAGATGGCCAGAATAAGCAACAAGCAACTCACTCTGGCTGGCAACAAACCAACCAAGAACACATCGACCAACAAATATGCAGAAGAAGAAAGTGCAGATGGATCGGATTTGGCATACACTGGGAAGACCATTTGGGGACATCGCGAGCCAGTCCAGGCCGTCGAGTGGAATTTAAATGGAAAACGATAAGTTGGGCGTTTGAGGCTTGGGTGACATGGAGGAGATCGTGTAAGGAAGAAATGAAAGCTTGTGAGCAGTGGTGGAGGCAGGTTTTGAAGACTGAAGAGAAGACAGTGAAATGCTGACGTGCTACTGAAGCCTTATGTTCCACTAGGAACCCAAAGGACAAATAACTATAATAAAATGAATTCACATACACTTTGAAATCCAAGTATTATACACTCTTTAAGTCACTGAAACAGTTGATAGCTGAATATTACAGAGATGACAACCAACATCCCTTAATATTTCAAGTAGTAGTAAGCGGTTAACGAATTCTTTCAACTAGTGAAGAATCAGACCAACAGTTACAGTACCCCTGACTCCTTTGACTTAATTAACTGCAATAATGATGTCAGGCTGTATGGTTATCGTAAATTATCATTGGACATCACATCGCTCTTAACAGATGTCTATTTGATAGAAAGAATCTGCTTTCGATGTGACTATCTTGAGATCAACAAGCCTGAAATTGGTATTCCTAAACATTTCTAAAGGAATTCGTCTTGCGATTTACCCTTAATATACGACTCACACTTAATAGTGAACTTTATCAATGAACCGTTGTGAACAGCAATGGATTCACTATTGGGTCCTCTCTTAGCTGTATGTTTGCTTCATGATCAGTTTGGAGAACAATAAACCACGCTGATAAAGATCAGTTACAAATGTTTAAGAGATACATGAATGACACTTTCAGCGTCTGTTAAGAGAGTAGTAACCCCTTAAGAAATACTGCGAAAGTTCAAAGAATGTTACAGATGAGCTTAATTTACCATGGAAACTGAAAATAACTCAGAATTTCACTTCCTGGATGTTCTTTTGAGAAGAAGACATGATGGTTCCCTAAGAAGATGGATTCCCAGGAAGTAAACCTGGTATGGACAATATACCCTTTTTCAAAGCTAAATTCCACTGGTCAAGAGAAGAAATCTATTTCATTCACTATGCATACGAATAAGAAGAATTTGTACGGACGTAACAGTAAATCTGGAGCTGGAAGTACCTCAAAGAGTGTTCATCAAGAATGCTTATCCCTCAAGATTCACTGATATGAAGATGAGACCTAAGCATTTCAAAGAATAAACCCCTAAGGTTTCAAAGAACACACTCCTTATAAGCATTGGATTAAAAGAAGATATATTGGCAGAGATACTGTAGAACAGATTTTGTGAAGCACTTCTTTCCAGTCCAACTCCAGATTTTTCTTTCAAGTCAACAACAGATTCTAGGATGTGTAAAGGATAAACTACCACTTTAGGCGAACTCCATATGCGTAAACCAATAGCTCCTGAAACAAATGTTCGTTGATATTTAAACTCGCCTGCTACATCTAGTTGGTAGTCTTGCTTTTGTTTTATTGCAACGACCATGTTAAACTGAAAGTTGCAAGGATGAGAAGCATAAAACTATTTTGTTTGCATCTAAATAGACCTTTTCCCTGTATAAAATCACATAAAATAGCAGGAAATCTTACCAGTAACTGCCTGCGAATTAAAAGATTAACTGAATGATACTGGATGATGACTGAAGGTGAAATGAAAATTTAGGCTGCACCAGGATTCCAACCAACGACCCTAATAAACTTAACGAATTGAAACTGAAATATATTTGGCTAGAGTGTCAGGTGACTAAGCTTCATAAGCGTTACACGTTTAGTTCAACAAAAGTTGGCTGTGGAGCCAATTATGGCCCACATTTTTCTATGTTATGACCGTCGTACCCTATGAATACAAAATAGCGAACGAACAAAATACAGTCAGCAATTTTGTGCGCACTCGTACAACAGGAAATGAGCTGCACCTATTTTGTGAAGGTCAATGATACTAGATTGTTGCCCAAGCCTCGGTAGGTAAGGCGAGGTTTGAACTGGCGACCCACTGGTTTTTAATCAACTCCCTAAACTAGTGAGCTACAGCTCCATACCCTATGGATACACTACTTAACAGATATCTTTTCTTATGGTTAGATTACTGACTGATAGCTAAATAGTTAAAAAAATATAATGATACTTCATACACATAATTAAAAAATATTTACTGTTCCACCTATCTGTCGTCCATATAAAGTGGAATAATCCATTTACTGATGCTTTTTCTCATAAATTTATTTTGCAGTATTATCGGCCAGATTATACGGATGATAATATGGGGATTCCTGACTGGGAAACACAAAAATATCAAAATTATTGTAGTACATTAGTCTATTTAAATACAGCATTCACAGCGATGTTTACTATGGAATGTTTACTGAAATTAATTGCATTTGGACCAAAAGTGAGTCAATAACTAGTAGCGCATTGTACCTTGAACATACATTACATGCTAAACCTCTGACACTAGTAAGTATTCAATGACACTGCTAAAAAGTTTCGGGAGTAATGGGATAAAATCGACGGATAATCGGTCAAAAAAAGAGCAAGCAAGTGAAGTTATTGGCATGAAAACATAAACCGTGACATGAATTGTCTTTATACATACCCACAAACAAACAATCCCAGTTGTTTTGATGTTGTAGCTTGTAAATCTCTGTTGTTGACTTGACCCAAATGATCGGCCATTATTGACATATAAAGGATTCTTGTGCGGACCTCCCCCCCTCGGATATTGCCGATATGTTAAGGTTTGATACTAATGATGGGGTCATAGTAGGAAAAATACCTACTGGAAGGCAATTGTATACAGCTGACGAGTCCAAAGTAAGACGAAAAGTGAGTCCCGGTTTTCACTACCAGCCACTATCCATCATTAGGTCCTTGTCAGTGACTATAGGAACGAAATGAACCGGTTCTTCTCATTGGGTTTTCCCATGTTTTCCTCGTCTTTGAATCAACTGAAATCGTAGCTGAGATACTAGTTGCTTTCTTCAGATACAACTTTCTACTGACATACAGTTAGACAGAAAATTGAAAACTAACAACTTTATTTCAGTTGAACCTTTTCAGAAGAAGAAAAGAAACTTTTTGAAAATATTTCAAATGCAAATATTCAGTACATTCATTTGATAGATAAAAACAAAAAAATATCTTGAATCAATCAAGAAAGAATGCAGAAAATAATGAACCATTCCAAACTTGGCCTAATGAATTAACTTATTGAATATACATGATGAATTGAAAGGTCAGGGAATTAGACTTGAGATAATCAGATTAAATTTTATCAGTATAACACCTCTAACATAAATGAAACATGAATAGTCTTAATTCATAGTATAAAAAGAAATATTAATCAAAAGGAATAATTGTAAACTGGAAATGAAAGACTATAATTAGATATATAAAAAGGCTTTATTCCTTTATTTCCCCAACAGTATTTGGTAAATATCTATTTTCGTAATCTTTACCTGAACAACATGAAGTGTTTACGCAAGTTATATATTATCTAAAACACTAAATGAACTAAGTGAGGACTAGTTTTACTTCAGAATATATTACTAAACAACTTGGATAATTAGATGTCACTACTGAAGCTGAACTGTAGATTTCACTTGATAGACCTAAGAGATCTATTAGCGGTGTACCCGAACAAATTCAACTCATACTGTTGAGTTAGTTCATATCACCCGAATTCAGCTAGCTAACTTTCATGAACTATCCATTTTGTAAATAATTTACAAACTACACACTCCACGTGTTGACATTACTGACAGCTGAGTAGTTTTTCAACTGACCGCCTGTGGTGCAAGTCAACAGGGTTCCTATTGGAAACCAACCTGCATGCAAGATCACAAGATATGACCTTTGACACAAAAATTGCATGAACTAGCAAAATATACTACTGAACAAACTGAGTGGTTAGAAACCAATCAGGGTTAGCTATAGATTTTTAAGTCGTTCAGAAGTTGGTTTTACTCCAGCCAGTAATAATGAATAAAAACCTAGGCATATCTGAAATGAAAATTATAATACACAGAAACACATTCTTCCCTTCTTAGACTTAAAACTATTCAAATAGTGTTTGTCAGTGCTCGTTGTTTTTCTTATCCTGGATTATGTAAGTGTGGAACCATTTTCAATCTGATCTTACACCGATTAGGATAAGTTAGAATGGTAGATTAGTGTTGACAAGAGTTTTCTTCATTTAAAGGCAGTACTGGCCGCAAACTGACATTGTGTGGGAAAACTAGCTTTTTTTCACCTTATTATAAGACCGGTTATCAGTGTACACCAATGAGCTTACGTGTAGGGGGACCTAGGAAATTCAGGTAAGGCAGTAAGCATGCTACCACTCTGGCGCTGCTTTAGAATCCAATGATATATACTTTCCTAATTCTGTCAATTCACAGTATAGTACAATAATCATCTAATATCGTGGACGGACATCCCCGCCACTCTCAACGTGACTGATCATACCTTCTCATTAGAATTTCATGAAATTGGTCTCAAAGACAGTGAATAACTACCACTTGATAGTTATTCAGCTGTTGTTTTTGAAAACCGAGTTATTTTAAGGTGGTATTCATTATGAACTGACTTGAGTTCTTTCGGACACAATTATGTCCAGTAGTCTGTCATAGATCACCATGTCTCTCATATCCACTTGGTACGCTGTTAATTTTCTCATAGAGTCATAATCTGACGCACAGTAGATCCCTTCTTTATTAAGTGGTTTTATTACACTTTACTTTTGTAAAATGGCACATAGCTATTCTTATTTCATCGTTAATTAAATCATAAACTAAGTATTGCATAAAATTAAAATACAATAAAACTAACAGTTCATAGCTTGTTGGTTATGCTTTAAACAAACGAAGTTTCACCCAGTTTCTCACTAGAATATCATGACCTGTTTAATGTAGAGAGTTGGAAACGTGAGAAAGTAGTTAATGATGAAATAAAAGTCTGTCTTGTAACGAAAATTGATTGAAGTAATCGAATATCAAGAAACGTCCTATGACTTAGTGCATCTGTCATGGAATATGACGGTTTGCAGTGCAGAATGGGTAGATTTTAAAGTTGAAAACTTTTAAACATAACTCAGTCATGACAAAATACTTCTGCCACGCTTTACTACCTCCATCTGTGTTTTAGTCGATGTAACTGCATGATTGCGGAAAATCAAGTTTACATAACCATCCACATCCATTTAGTTAGAAGCATACTACGTTTAGTCTCTTGAAGGTCTTGAATACCACTGAAAGTGTGCAGGCAGTTGACACTTTCTGGTTGCCCACACCATGGAAAGGCTATTTCTTCTTAAGGTACGTGGAAGACAAAATGACTTATATGACTCCAGAGCCCATGGAACATCAGCTTAAGGCCTATAATGCACAGTCTTTTGAGGATTGTTGGTGTCAGATGTGAGTGCTTTGACGCCTGACAGTAAAAATCCATACTCTCGGCACTGGAAGACCAAAGGGCAGGTAAGAAATGTCTTATTTTTGCAACCGCCCTTTTATTAACACTCCCTTCTTTTCACCTGGGAGATAGTATCAGCCTGGAACTGCTAGTTATCCGAGGAAAACACCTTCCTGCTGTCACACCTCATCCAGCCAGCAGTACTAATTTGGCCTCAGAACCCCATCCTAGTATGCAGTTTACACTACGATAGTAACTGCTTTTCACCTTACCACTATCCAACACAGTCTTCCCAGTCTCGTGGGGCCTCGACGGAACAAGCCTTCTAGCTAGCCTAGCTAGCTGGCTCATTGTAATATATAAGCTTGACTATCACGTCACGAAAACAGTTATCGATTCAGCATAAGTTTCCTTCATTTTTGTACATACTTTCCAGCCACTTAATTGGCAGAAACACGAATGCTGTCTGTTTGACAGGAAAGCGACCAAAAGCCATTACGATAGAAGCAGTTTTGTCATCCGCAAGCAAAATCAGCTTCAAACGTCTTTTTACATCATTATAAGTAATTTATTATATTCCTTGTAGATAAGCTTTATGCCTCATGAAAGTTTTTAATCACTAAGTAATTTTGTAAAGCGCTTGACATACACACTTTTACACTTTTTTCAGAGCTACTTTCGGGATTCATGGAATACCTTTGATTTTATTACTGTAGTTGGCAGTATAACAGATGTACTTGTTTCTGAATTGCAAGTAAGTCGGGCATTTCTATTTTTCTAGTATGTATCAAAGGTTTACATTTTTACTTTTTGCTACAATGATACAGTTGTGCTGACTGTTGGTGTTCGTCGAGATTTCATACACTTTTATCAACCTGCATTGAAGTGTTTCTTGATTCTATCAGATCTCATTTTTCTTCAGTCTAATGTCATACTGCCTTAATTTACCTTTTGTTTCTGTTTATTTATGAAGTGTGGCAGCTTGAAGCGACACAGTCTTTTGCATAATTTCATGTTGGTTTTTCTTTCCTATCCATAGTTTTTTCCCAGTTAACATGCTTTCTTCTTAGATGCTTACATTGCATACTTCTGTAGTATGTTCGACTTGGCAATAGACAACAGAAGACAGTTATAAAAAGCGGTCACTTTTATGCTTCTTCTTCTTCTTCTTATATCTATCAACACACTTCAAAGCAAGGTATTTTAGATCAAAAAACGCTTGGATCATCTTCAGTAGTTAATAAAGCATGCATCAGGAGACCTTTACTGGGTAGACGAGAGATATGAATTGGCTATATAGTTAGCCGACTACCTCATTGGTTGAAGTTTGCTAAGTATATGTGTAGACTGTGCAGTCATTTATTTCGTGAGATTGCCTTTTCACAAATAAAACCGTTTACGGATACGATAATGGGTCACACAAAAAACATGAATGCCCAATGATTCACTTATACATTAATCTAAACTGGAAATCACTAAAATTTGACGCCTTTCAGGCAACAATCAGTACATTGGTACTGAATTAAATGCATACCAGTTAAGTTATGCCTCGTTGAATTTATATATAAACGGGTCAAACCTTTTATTGACTGACAACATTTTTTTCCCTTAAAAGCTAACTTATTAAGATCATAATCTGCAACAGGCTGGTGACGCTGCAGATACAGTGAAAGTAGGACTACAAACTGTACTATTAAGCACACTTTTAACAACACAGCCACGATTGTTAATCATCTACATAATAATTACTGTACTGGCTGTATTTGCTTTTAGTAGGTGCAGTAATAAATAGAGTGAATCATCTGAATGCAGTGAAGATTGCATCGATAAAAAATAAATGAAAAGAACTTAAAATAACTTTTGATTTTTCACAGTCCAGTCCTCCAGAGTGTTAGGCTGAGGCTAAATAGCTTAGTGATTTCTTCTCTGACTTCAGAATTCAGTGAGGTGGGTTTGAATGACTGAGGGAACACTGATTTCCTCTTGTTTCTAAATACACCTTGCTTATAAATGCCGACAAGTATGAAATTTGGTTCTAAGCTTTTCTGCCAATCAAACCCTAACATCTAATACTTGATAAGCTATGTAACTCTTCCACTGAAAGTACTTTACCTATGCTTCCGGTTTGCAAATATAACATCTACGCAGAGAAACGAAGATGAAAAAGAGAGACGACAGTCTCCAAGATGATTATCAATAAAACTAAAAAGGACTCATGACAACATCCTGGTGAACATCTCTGGACATTCTGTTATTTTCGAAGGTATTATTACAACCATTCTTGTGGTGTACCATTTAATATACTTCAGTTCAAGAAGAAATAATCTTCCTGTACGTTAAAACTCGACTCAACAGCTCTGACATAAACATGAGTTACATAACTAAGAAAATAAACCTGTTGAGATTTAGGTTTCTTGGATATGGATCCCTAGACGACATTTAGTTCATGACACTGTTCCCGGTAAAACAGAATTCTTTCAACCAAAGTTTTATTTGTCTGTTATTAAGTAAATCTTATTATTCTACCGTAAATTAACCTACACTGTATGATTTCATAAAATTCAATTTGAATAAAGCAATGAAGAACAATAATAGTAGAATTAGCTTGCATCTATTTCGTGGACTTTCCTCGGCTGCTTTATAAACTACAGGAAATAATATTTATGATGATTAAAGAAAATACTTTTACAACATACTTTAATAAATCTACACGAATGTTTCGAATGAGATGGAAGATAAGAAAGATCTAGGCTGGCCAAGATTGGTGTTGTTAAGACTACTTAAAGGTTAACTGTTTATACAGCGGTAGAATATATATATATATATATATATATATATATATATATATATATAAAAGGGGAGGGGGTTGTACACAGTATTATTCTAAAATAGGTAAATATGAGATCATGGTCAAGTATGTGTAGTAAAACGCTAGTAAGTTTCCCCCATATTTAGTATTAAGATGAATAAAGGCCAGAAAGTGAGAGTAGGCTTTGAAATGGATCGAAAAACAAAGCGATAAAAGGTCATGAGGTGGTCAAATCTTGTATCTTCAAAGTTACGAGATTAAAATTACCAAGGTAAAGCAAGGTTGACAACAGTGTCTTTCTGAATACATAGATCAGGTTAGAGTCTTTTAACTTCAACTGCTTCAACAAACCACAAAGGAGTGGGTTTCACTTGTCTATTGATCACTTTGAACGACTTTGATACATCCACTTCATGTTTAGTATCAAGTAAATGCTGGAAGATAGCGCTATTTAAACCAATTGAATCCTTAAAACTCAAATTCTTCAAGATACTTTCAGAAATAGGGAAAAAACTCTTCTTCGACTGTATGATCTTTGAAACCTACGTACGAACTGATAGATGCAACTGGAGGTAACAAAAGTTGGGAACATCAACATTTTGGAATATCTCAATAAGCATTTAGTCCGATACACAGAGACTAACTTGGTGGCTGGATAGGTCTTTTTACTACTGCACTCGATCTATGATTCATCTATATGGCGATTTCATCCACTTTAAAGGTAAGGTGTAGACAGACAAGCTTCTTGCACTTATTCTACTGCTATTATTCTTCTTGCCTGATTCAAATTCATGAAAGGGGAGAATTTTAGGAGATTCAGTTGTTTAAAATATACTTTTTTTTGTCGAACTGGTCAAAATCTACTCTTTTCTTCTTCTTATTTTTAGGATTCTTCATTTCTTAACTTAGGCTTTCTCAGACTTTTTCGTGCTGCTCGTCTTATCAAACTAATCAGACAAGGATATACAATCAGAATACTTTTATGGACATTTATTCAGTCATTTAAAGCCTTACCTTATGTATGCCTACTTATCACAATGTTGTTCTTTATCTATGCAGTAGTAGGAATGCAAGTGAGTTAATTTCTTCCATTTATTTAATTGCTAATGATTATGTGAGCAGTTTTCAATGAATTATTGCTAGTTATGGTCGAAAGACGACAGATTAGTAGGCTTGACTTGTGATATTATGAACATCAGATGTGTAGATCATGTGTTTGATTCAGGAATCGGTTTCAGATACTCACTACCGGAAGTCAAAAACCACATTATTACACATAATTATATATGTTATATTATGCATTATGTTATAATTATACATTGGTTGCCCAGTTGTTTACCGATTCATATACCTACTCGTCTTACGTGGTGACATTTTTGGCTTAAAAAGGTCAGTGGTCAAATCTTAAATTCATCATTGAGTGATACAAGCGAGAACCCCAATAGGACCAGTTTTCTCATAGTTTCAGACACTTCCTCTTGACTGGTACCACTAAGCAGGAGATCACTGTCCGGAGTTTTGTCCCAACTGACCCCCAATATTCTATTACACAAGACAGCATACTGCTGTGTCCTGTCAGTTTGCTTTATGATGACACAGCGAAACTCAACTGGTAGACTTCAATCACTGCTAAGCGCTAACGACCAGACATGCACACTGTTTACCCTCTGACGACCAATACATGTTTATATTTCATTTCATTCGAAGGTAAATCCAATGGAAACCCAAACTTGGTAATTAATATTATTCTATTGTTCTACGTGAATTGTTTAGGGATATCGTAACACTGGATAATGCTATACTTGTTTAGTGGCTTACTAAAAACAACTGCGATAGTTTTGACGCATTTCTTGACTAACTCGTTCCCCCTACTTCACTTCAAGCTATCCAGTGGTTTACATTCGGTTATGAAAACCCAGTAGGAGGTTAGTGTAACTTAACTAAATAAAGCAAACATTTTCACCCTGTCCCATCTTACTGTGTGGTTGTGTATAATCACATTCATAGCTATGGCTAAGCGATTTCTAAATTCTTTACTTTATTAAGACCTATCAGTTTCTACTTTGTTATGCTTTTGAGCTTGGATAGCCTAATTGACCCTGGTCGATTACTTTGACCTATATATGTGACTTTACAGTCCTTGCAAGGAATTTGGCAAAAGAAGTCATTCTGCTTAATTGGATCAGTAGAATCCTTTAACCTATAAAGCTTATTTTCCAGTGAGTGCGAAGGTTTCAATGCCACTCTAATCCCAGCCCTATTGCGAATCCTACATAGCGTTTCTGAGGTGCCTTCTTTGGATGGTAATACTGTTGAGATTTTGAATTATGTCTTCACAGTGTTGCCACTACTATTATTAACAATGTTACCACCACCATTACCACCTGTTACTAATATGTGTCATATTTTCCTTCCATTTCCCAAGGAACTTATCGATTAATTTGGAAAGGTAACTTTTGATGAGTAACGAATCTAGTTTCTTGTCTTAGATGCTGTGATTTACCATTAAGTTTTTTGGCCATTTTACTTCGAGACAACTAGGCCAACTTAAACTGACATAGAGTGAGACGATTTTAAGTTTACGTAACGATTCGAATGTGAAGGTTTTCTGTGGATATTAATGTCTAAACTCCTATATTGTTTCCGTTTTATTCTGCAATCCAACATTGCTAAGTCCCCTTCACCATTTTAGAAAAAAGCTAAGGCGTAGTTATGCTTGCGATTACACAAAACCACACAGTAAGATGGGACAGGATGAAAATCCTTAAAACTAACATAGCAGGGTGGAGGGAGAGATTGATAACTGAATCCTTATACTGAGTGATGATTGAAGGTGAAATGAAAATTTGGACCGTGGCCGGATTCGAACCAGCGACCACCAGGTTTCCGGACCACTGTTCTACCAACTGAGCCACTAGGTTTTTGTTTATCAAACCAACACGTAATACATGCATGCAACAGGAATGACTCAGCACCTGTTCCTGATATATGGAAAATCTTACTACCCATATCACAAAGGGGGTGAGGAAATTAGGACTATACAAAGGATGTCTCAAAGTTGTGTAGATATCTTGATATGACTATGGACAATAAATTATGTCCGAAACATAAACCAGTAAGCAACGGTGTCTCTTTACTGCGTGATTAATCTAATAAATCAATAAAAATGGAATGAACACTGCTCCGAAGTTTTTCTTTTAAGTTTCCAAGTTTGTGGGGATCGAATTTTTTTATGGAATGACATAATTTGTATTATCATTTTAACTGCCTAATTTCATCTACAGCCAAAAAGCATCTTTGAATATTCGGAATGACACGATTCAGTTATAATTTATAAACAATTTATTTATACAAGAGCTATCAACTCTACTCATAGCTACGCTTTTGTTTCAACTGAACACTTACTGAAACAGTCAGTCCCTAGGTATGTAGATGAGACTAAGTTCAAAGTTGTTCCTTAAGTCTCGTTTAAAAACCTATTTAAAATTAGCTCCAATCATGCTACAGGGGATTTGAAACAGTATACATAAACTATTTTTTGATATACTTGTAATTCCCCGATGTTTCATTCAATCGAATTGTCCAACCTCTAAACCTTATTAGTTTTACTATCCCGTTGTTAAATAGGACCGAATTTGATCGGTCTATGCTGGCACATGAGCCGCTTCGCGGATGCCTCTATATTGCCTGTGTTTCAACCATATGTTAGTGATAGATAGTTGCTAGCAGTGGAATCTAGGATGCGCGTTTCGTCCTTTTTGGAATTCGTCAGCTGGATATGCCTGCTTCCCACTGAGCGATATTGTTACGCTGAGACTCGAACTCGAGACCGATTACTTCAAACGCCATAGAGTTATCCATTAAGCCACTGAGTTATGATAGCCATTTTTTGTGCGACAGGTATGATTTCGTTGTTGTAATTTTTATTATCCCGTCGTAAAACGGGACCGAATTTGATCAGTCTCTATTGACATATGGGCTCCTGCGTGGATGTCTCAATATAGCCTGTGTTTCAGTTCCATATTACTGATGGACAGTGGCTAGAAGGGGATTCCATGGATTCTGAAATCCAACTGATGAGTTACAAATGGGACGAAACGCCCTAGATTCCACTGCTAGCCACTACCCATAACTGGAAAGTGTACTTGAAATATCTATAATATGTATTATATTCCTTTTAGCTACAACTCACCTCTTTGATTCTCCTGAGATACCAAGACACCTGAACTTTAAAACAAGAACACTAATACAGTTATGACATGGTGATAATTGAACTCGTTGATAACTAGTTTGGATTGGAAGGCATTTGTACCAAAAATATACATAAGAAAACGAAATCAGTGTTAACAGATAAGAAATTGTCAACTATTACTGTTGTTTTTATTGATATGGCAATCTCCACAAACTGTTTTATCATATACTTCTAGTTTTTCTATTATTTTTAACTTAGATATTCGGTACAATTGCTATTAACGAAGCTGAAGGACAAATTACAAGTTACAATAACTTTCACAGTTTCCCTTATGCAGTCCTTTTATTGTTTCGGTAAGCTTAAGCTGTATAATTCTTGGCAAATTAAATCAAGCATCTGGAAACTATTTTAAGACTTTGATGACGGTACTGAACATTACTTATTGGTATGAGTAGTTTGTCTCTTTGAAAGAGATGTGGAAAGAAACCTGCATAACCGTATTAGGAAGGAAGAGGAAACAAGACAAGGAATAGATCTCGACGGATACATTGAAGCTGATAGTAAAGGAGAGAAGGATGGTGAAGCAGAAGATGAACCATTGCAAGGATGGACAACGAAAAGACAAACCAAGTACAACGTATAAAACATTGAACAAAGAAGTGAAGAAGAGTCCAAGCAAAAACAAAAGACACTTCTACAACACATTGGCAAGTGAAGCAGAACAGGCTGCTGGTAGGAGAGACAGAGACCTGACAACAATATATCAAATAACCAGGTCACTATCTTGGAAGAGATCAACACAGATGAAACCAATGGAAGATAGTTAAGGAAAGCTAGTTACCAAAGAGGAGAAACAAAGAAAACAATGGGCTGATTGTGGTGGAGTGGATCATGCAGCAAACCATGAGAAGCTGTGAGAAGATGGGGATACGCTGGACCGCTGAAAAGAGCCTAGAAGATTTGGATTTCGCTGATCATGATTTATGTCTTATGTCATGTCACACAAACTCGAAGATCTACAGGCAAAAACTAACAAGTTGACAGAAGAGGTAGGGCAGCGAAAACAGGACTTAAAGTGAATGCACAGAAGACAGAGGTGATGAAGATACTTAACCAACAACAAGTGCCAATCACCATCACGGGAAGAAACCTAAAGGAAGTTGTTTCTTTCACCTACCTACCTAGGCAGCATCGTTTCAACCACAGGCAGCACAGATGAGGATGTCAAAGCCAGGAGTGACAAAGCAAGACAGGCCTTTCTTCATTAATCTGAAATTAGTGTGGAGATCTACTGCACTCAGCACAAAGCGTGAACGAGATCTGGATTCTCAACACCAATGTCAAGTCAGTGCTGCTATATGGTTCAGAAACTCGGCGTGTCATGAAAAACATTTCGAACAAGCTACAGACATTCATCAACAGATGCCACCTATGCTCACTGGATACTGAAGATCAGATGGCCAGAAAGAATAAGCAACAAGGAACTGTGGCAACGAACCAACCAAGAATATATCGATCAACAAATATGCGGAAGAAAGTGGGGATGGATTGAGCATACACTAAGAAGGCTGACTGGGAACATCACGTGCCAGGCCCTCGAGTGGAATCCAAAGGGAAAACGACAAGTTGGGCGTCCGAGGCTAGGGTGACATGGAGGAAGTAATGAAAGCTTGTGGGCAGTCGTGGCGCCAGGTTTTGAAGACTGCAAAGAAGAGAGTGCAATGGAGACGTGCTACTGAAGCCCTATGTTCCACTTAGAATCCAAGGGAAAAATAATAAAACTAATGAGTAGTTTGTAACTATTCCTATCAATTCTTAACATCTATATTATATTTCTTGTTATAAGTGTAAAACTTGCGCACTGTAGTAGAATGTTATTCCATATTACATTTGTTTATTTGTTGTTTAGCATACAGTGGTATAGAATTATTTACTTGATGACTTTTCGAGTATAAATTATTGTTCATAATCATATGAATGTAATCACATAACTTTGAAACTTTATAAAGTTAAACTCCTGTTCACCAAAATATTTTTGCTGAAACTTGAAGACTGTCAACAAAATATAAAAGCCAACAGAAGGGGTAGGAATGGGATCCACAATATCTCCAATCGTAGCAGAAATATTTATGAATAGTCGGAAAAACATGACTCTGCAAACTTTTAATCCTGCAACTAGGATATAGTGGGAACAGTACGTGTAGGTGTAATCCATTTCACTTATGAGATAGAAAATGAACAAGAAGAATCAGATATGTTGAAATGCAGAGTAAAACAAAGAACAGATGGTGGTCTAGATACTTACGTTTATAGGAAACCAACACATTCCAACAGATATCTAGGTTTCACGTCATTTTATCCAATATTAGTTAAGGTAAGTTTAGTTCAATATCTAAATAACATGGCTTTAAATCTCAGTAGTCATTGCAAGGACTTAAATAAGGAATTTAAAAAAACATGACGGAAACGCTACCAATTAATGATTAACCTCTAGAGTTTATTAGGAAATCCATAAAAACATATAAGAGATGGAACAATAACAGCAATATGGATCTGAATATTAACGACGAGACAAGTAGAAAGGAGTTTCAGGCCTCTATAAAGAAAAGATATCAGAAACCTTGAGACAAAATCCTCATCAAAGCTGGAATCAGGGTGGCTATCATCCCTACAAACTCACTCAGAGATAAACTTTGTCTCCTTGAGAATTCAATAAACCCAATTCAGCACAGTAATTTGATTTATCAGATTTCATACAATGACTTTGAAGTCAAAAAAGTAAGAAAGAAAAACAGAAAGCTAAATATTGCTACGGATTTCATTTATACTGATAACTTTTGAAGATATGAATGGAATAAAGACAGCATACGCATACTGACTGTTCATCAAGCTAACAGTGGAACACACTAGTACTTAATCACTATGCACACTTGTCTGGCTGTTTGACTAATACAATTATGAAAAATAAGTTGCCTAAGACGACGTAGAAATACCTCTCTAAACTGTGTAGATTGGTTAGTAAAATGCAAACGAAATGAAGTGCAATACTTTTCTGCACATCAGCTGAATTATTTAATCAATCAGTATCAACATAAGACATGATATTACTGCAAAACGGTTCAAGATTTTTCACCTAACATTAGCACATCAAACTAGAAGGCACCCAAATGTAAAATAAAGAAAAACGTAATCAGCAGTAGCATAAAGTCGTACGAAGATGAGGAATAAAAGAGTCACGAAGCTTGGTATGATAATCAAAATGATGATATTGTATGGACGTATCTGTTCTATTGGATCATACCGCCTAGAGCCCCATTGGACTGATTTTGGTTGTCAAATGGACCCCGATCGGGACGTCTACGCTCCCCTACACATTCCAAACCAGCAGTTTCGTAGTTGGTGAATTGATGCCATATTCCAGGTTGGCAAAATTTTACTTTTCTCCAGCTTAAACCTACTTCAGACAACATAGCGTGATGAGGTAGACGGTGACTCAGAATATACAACACATTGCGATGGTTAGTTTCCCAGTCTAGTGACCACAATGCGAAATGATCGGTAGAATTTGATAAGCACTTAGGACTAGACAACATGAAGTTGGATGCCTTCATCCAATTAACATATGTTCTATCCATTTGAGGTTCATAGCCTCATCAACTGGCATACCCCTTAAACATAAAACTCCATACTTAGCTCTTCCTCGTGTCACCGTCTTCATTTAACAGGACTAATTCATCGATAAATTCGAGGTCTATTAAGGAGTTTCCTGTGAAAAGGTCAATCCCTATAAATTCAGATGACGAAAAGGGTGCTTCAGTAATAACATCTATGATAAGGGTAAAGGCTAATAGGGAGAGTGAGTCTCCTTGACGGATACCACTCGATGAACACAGTTCACCTGACAACTTATCACAGGCTCTAACGCGTTTACTGGTCTTTGAGCACAGAGCCTTCAAAAGAATAATATACTTACTCAGTACGCCTTTCAATGAGTGATACTGCCACAAGACCTCTGGACCAACAGAGTCAAATGCCCGCTTGGGGTCGAGAAATACAGCCAGTGTTGAGCATCGGTAAGTATGCTTGGATTCCGGAACCTAGCGGAGGGTAAATATCTGGTCAACACACCCACGACTAGGTCTAAGGTCAACCTGTTTTCTTCAAACTCGCTGTCCCCAAGCTGTACTAACACGTCTAGAATCCTAGACATTATTTTCGTCAGAATGACTCCCCTGTGATTATCATAGGAAGATTTCTCTCCTTTTCAGAAGACTGGGACAATCAGTTACTGAGACCAGCAAGAAGAGATATACTAGCAAACACTTCAGTCAGCCCGACCAATAATCCACGACCGCTGTACCAAAACACCTCTGGTACCAACCCATCTGAGTGTACAACGCTTTCTTGCTCAAGGCTATCTACAGCCTTCTCAGCTTCCACATGAGATGGAGGATGTATCTTATTTTTTTTTATTCAGCCAACGAGCAACCGAAGACTGTATGGAGCCACTGTGAACTGGTCCTTGAAGGGTTCTGGCCATCATCCTATCAAACACATTTACTTAGGATAACGCATGACCTGGTTTTAAGTAGATATTTCAAGACAAAAACAGTCTTAGTTGGATAAAGGAGATCTGCAAGAAGCCCTGGACCTAGGTTTTGTGCTTTTTGATGCACATTAGCAAGGTGCATCTGCCATCTCGATGGAGCTGATATCCGGCCAGAGATGTGAACACGCATGATTCAGTGCTTCAGTCTGAGATGTTGAGTTTCCTGGCAAAATGATCAATAGAATTTGGTCAATATACAGAAGTGAACAACATAAAGTTGGTTACCCACCACTGACTAATCGATAACAACCTCTCACTGATCCTAAATAGTGATAAATTCCAGCGAAGTGACCAAAGTGTCTACCGTTGGCTTGGTATTCGATGGTCTCCAGATACAACTACGGTTTTACTTATGTGTAAGTTAAGTGCTAGTCATGAATAAATATTATTATTTGTCCTTTGGGTTCCTAGTGGAACATAGGGCTTCAGTAGCACGTCGCCATTTTGCTCAGTCCTCTGCAGTCTCTTGAACCAGGCCCCACGACCGACCATAAGCTTTCATTTCCTCCCACGATCTCCTCTATGTAACCCTCGGATGCCCAATTAGCCGTTTCCCATTTGGGTTCCACTCGACGGCCTGGCCTGGCGCGTGATGTCCCCGAATAGTCTCCTCAGTGTATGCCCGTTCTAATCCATGTCCATTTTCTTCCTCATGTTTACTGGGTGATAAGTTCTTGGTTGGTTCGTTTCCAAAATTCCCTGGTCATCAGATAAAAATTGCAAAGTATCATTTTTATTGGCTTGTCGATATGTGGTTTCAACGATATTTCCTGCATGTGTTTCAGACTGGTTGAAATTAGTTACTGAAGTATAGCCTCTAATGTAAACATAACCAAATGTTTTGTATTTTACAGCAAAACTGACAGCATCTGTTCAAACTTACCAAAACATAGTTCAAACTGCAGTGAACTAAGTCTCTAGCAGAGTATGCAATCTGTTCTTCTGAAAATAAATATATTGCGTTTCTTTATTTCAGCTATGGAATACTTTTAGTTTTCTTTACCGTCATCTTTCATTTTTGTTTCTTTTTTTCATCACTTCAGTTGTGCTACAGGTGAATCATGGCAAGAAATAATGCTTGCTTGTACTTATGGACAAGAGTGTGTAAATCGTTCATCAAATAATTGTGGAAGCAATGCATCATACGCTTATTTTGTATCATTCAACTTTTTTTGTTCATTTCTAATGCTCAATTTATTTGTTGCTGTAATTATGGATAATTTTGATTATTTAACAAGAGATTCATCAATTCTAGGATCACATCATTTAGATGAATTTATTCGTGTATGGGCAGAATATGATCCAGGAGCGAAGTAAGTCAGAAAAAAATTCTTAAATAAATTTTTCTCGATACTGTAGTAAGATAGTAAGAGTTCTATGCTATAGGATATAATGTTATGTCTAGTAGTATTGTCACTGACTGAAGTGAATGAATCGACCAATAGTGGCATATGGGGTCCTACAGATGTGAAAAGTATCGACAGATTTCCAACCCATGCTGATGAAGAATGGCTAAGCTAATTCACAGGGTTATTTTACAATGATCTGTGTTGTTCTTTGCCTGTTTAATACTGGTTTCTTCATCCTGGTTGATATTGATATTTTAATATTGACAACTCTTGCTTATCATTTTTTCTGAAAAGAAAGTTATTAAAATTAGGCTACTGATGTCACTTATTCATTGATTTGTTTACCTGAGTTAAAAACGAATAAACTCAAGTAATTTCGAGGTTAATGAATATTTCAATTTTAACTTAGTATTCATCACGGACTGAAATCAGTTGGAGAACCACTGAAAATCTGGGAGCACTGAACAGTTGATGAGGAATACTACCTTGAAAATAAAATACTGATTAACCTCAAAAGGCACTAACATATAATTCTTATTAGTGACATGCTTCCAGATGGATATCGCGAAGTTCTGATGAGAAACCATGACCTATAGGGTCAATCAGTCAGAAGTGAAGCAGATGTCAACTGAATACCTTGGTGGGTAGTTGCGTTATATCACGAATAGATGTGAGGGAGCTGAAAACTGCAGACCAATGAACTCTGGTCCAGTGGATGAATGGTTAACGCATTCGTCGTCAAACCTGAAGGTCCTGATTTCGGTCCCTGGTAGGGTCGTGGGTGCATACTGTTGAGGTGTTCCATACTAGGACGAACAAACTAGTCATCGCTCCAAGCTCTTCAATGGTTCTCCAAGTGACGTCAGTCCGTGATGGGTACTAGCTTGAGTAATTTTGGTTAGAAAAACGAAGTACGTTTCGTTCTTACATTGAGTTTTATAACCAGACAGAAATGATGAATCATTCATTCGATATCACTATTACTCTCGAAATTTATCCGTAAAGCAGATGCTTCTGAATTATTTTTGGATGGCTTTTTATCACTTTTAACGACAGTCATTGAGGTTAATACAATTTTTATGAAATTACTGAAGATCTATGTCGAAAAGAACTGAAAACCTCTATAACGCAAGTCTAAAACGTTCTAGCAATGCTTATTCTAACTGCATTGATGAATTTAACTCAGTAAGATCTAATATGGTTACAAATCATTACAGTTAAAATGATGACTCGACGTTTCGGTGAATGACATCTTCTCAGGACTAGATAAAGTCCCAGAATGTCTATAATAGCATGTTTAGTCTGTGATAAATAACGAGACTACCATTCATTCGCTCAGGCGTTGTGAAAAAATTAACATTTTTAAGTACTGTTAAGTGAGAATGAAAACTACCACTCTGTACAAGTTGTAATTTTCTTGGTGACGGCTAGCAATGAAATACAAGGCGCACGTTTCGTCCTGTTTGGAACTCGTCAACCGGATGTACCTGCACTCCAGTGAGTGACATCGTTCTCACTGGGACTCAAACTAAGTACTCATCGACTCAAACACCGAAGCGTTATTCACTAGGCCACTCGAACACGACAGTCACTTCTTGTGACACAAGGCATCCGAAGAGGAGCCCATATGCCAACAGAGAGGTCAATCGATTCGATCCCGAATAATAATAATTGGAAATTACAAGTATCAATGAGTATTTATTACTCAGTACAGTTTAATCTTCACTTATTTTTCGATATCACTTGGTTTTATAATCTTTACATTAGCACTATTTAGAACTTAGGTTGTTCATTAACAAGTCTGGGTTAACATATACTGGAGATCAAACACTTAAGACGGTACAGTCCCCAGTCTTCATGTGTAAGCTGTATGTGATACGCTTAGTTCAAATTCATTTGTCAGCGTAGTACTTTTGTTTACCTAAATTTATATATAGTTACTGAATTCCCCTTCACACTTTAGAAACAAACCAAGGCAAAAATCTGAAACAGAAGGAAAATTAAGTGTTCCTCTAGATGAAAGTGTTAGAAGATGGTATCAATTTATTAGTGATAAAATAATAGGTGAAAATAGAAGAACATCATCATCATCATCAACATAGGACCAGGCATTACTGCATAACGATCCCAGTTGCCACAACTCACGTCAGTTCATCAAGTAGAAAGGTAGTGAGGCGAAGGATGAAGATAAGTGAATGCAGTCAAAAAAAATATAAAGTACGAGAAGAAAGGAAAGAGGAGTGACAAAATGGTGAGATTCGGTATAGTGTTGTTAAGATGAGGATAATGTGTGTATACATCTGCGCCACTGACATCGGTTCTGAGCCATATCACCTAGGGTCTCCAACCACTGGTTCTTCTTGTCCCATGGACCCCAACCACCTAGTCTGCATCGTCCTACATGGCTCAAACCAACAGTCAGAGATTTCATACATTGGTGCCATGTTTTAGTCTGGCCACCTCGGGCCTTTTTCCAGCCTGGACCCACCTCAGCCAACATTGTGTGACGAGGCAATTGGTGACTAGGCATACGTGGTACGTGTCCCAACCAGCTATCTCAGTCAATGAAGGTTCACAACCTTGTCGACTGACTTACCTCTTCTCCCCAAAACTCTACACCTAACTTCCACATTACTCACGTGGTGACGCCACGGAATACGGCGGCCTATACTACGAAGGCAACGGTGGTCAAACACCTGAAGCCTTTTTGTACCCTCCACTTTCAATGGCCATGTTTCACAGCCATACAGTAGAACAGAGTGGACTGCTGTGCAGTACACGCGACCCTTAATAGACAATCGGATATCACGGCGGCGCCATAGGTGGCGCAAATTGGCAAAAGCCAATCGAGCCTTTTGTATCCGTGCAGGGATCTCATCGGCAACTAACCCACCAGGGTTGATCCTACTTCCCAGGTAAGTGAAGTGGTCAACACACTCAATCACTTCACTCTCTATTGCTAGCCGCGGTACTGCTGAAGACCAGTCCTGGAGCAAAAACTCGCATCCCAAGGGAAACACCTTACTGCTGTCACACCCCATCCAGCTAGCAGCAGTACGACTTCGCCCTCAGATCCCCATCACAGTGTAGTAATTTACACCCCAACAGTAACTGCTTTTCGTCTAACCACTATCCAACAGACCTTTGTGGTATGGTAGGACCTCTAGGGAACAAGCGTTCCACCAGCATAGCTCGTTGGGTCATTGTGATATGCAAGCCCGACTACCACGTCAAGGTAGCAGCTATCGGTCGGGCAAAGAAGAAGAAGAACATACCATCCAAATGGTAGTGTATTCATTCTGTATCTCACAGAATTCTCTTTGTAGTAGATCCAAGTCAACCAAAGAGTCATCTTATGAATGATACTGAAATGATCTGAAATATTTGTTAGCATCTCGAATGTAGTCTAATTTCAGATTGACTAGTTTCTTTTGTTGATGAATTGTCTTCACATATATTATCACTTCATGCAAGTTGTAAAGAAAGCGATTTCTTCGGTCCGCCTTCAGATATGTAGAGTCGAAGTTAGATGAAAGTCTTATATAGGCTGATACAGACTTCTGAAAAGCTCCCATAAAAGTAATTTCTCTATCCCTTGAAAACTGACTCACCATAGAGAAACATCTTTACTTCTTAGTTAAATTATGTATTCAAAACGTAACGGAAGCGAAATGGTGAAACCATAGTCAGTTATCAGGGAATGTGGTTTGTTAGGTAATGTGAGACTCTTCCCCTTATTCTCCTGCTGTAACCACAGTAATTCAACGTGTGGGGAAATATTCATTTCAAAATCGGTTTATCGCTACACAAGAGAACATTGAGAAAAATTTTCTCGCATATAAACTTCACTGCTGGGTGTACTGCGTTGAATCTACTGAGAGTCTTTGGTTTTGCACAGGATGAATGTATCATCCATATGTCGACAGTAAAATGAAAATTCTCTGATAGTTTCTAGTTTCTATAGAAAAAGGTCCGCTAATATGGGACCCGGTGGCGAGCCCATTGTGACTGAGTCCACTTGTCCATAAACTTTACAATTCTATTTAAAGTTAAAATCCAGGGTACATTTGAGCAATAATTAAGAACATCTATCGGCATTCTAATACTGATAGACTTTTCTTGCAGCTGTTCAGCTATATAGTTGACTGTCTCAAGAAGAGAAACACTGGTGAATAGAGCTGTAACATCCTGTGACATCATAATCTTATTCACGATCTTAGCATATCCCAATTCCCTCTATAAATTCAAATTCGTCTTTCACACTGTTTTACTGGCTGTTTGCATAAAGTTGAAGAATGGTGACCAGTCATTTCATTAAAGTACAGTAAGGAATATTTCGCACATCGAGAATTGGTCTTAACGGCACTCCTGGTTTTTGTATCTTAGGTAGGCCATTCTGTGCGAAACTAATATGGACAGACTAAAGATACTCAGTAGATTCACCTCAGTACACTCAGTGATGAAGTTTACATGTGAGGAAGAGTCACAAGGCAAGACAGCTTTTTGCAATGTTCTCTTCTATAACGCTAAACTCATAGACCCAAAAACTACATCGGATTTTCAAAAATCAGTTTGCTGAGGTTATTACGAAATAAAATTAAAGAACAAAAATAAGCTAAGTAGTAAAACAAAGAAATTTGCTTCACTGTGTGATTGCTTAGTTGGAAATTTTCCGTTCGTTGAAAAATGAGTTAGACATTTACAAGAATTTGTCTGCAACTCAATCGTAGTTTATCACTTAGCTGCTTCGAAACCTTATTTGTTTTTCACACCGAATATGCCTAAAAGTAACAATCTTAACACTCTTAAGGCTAGATAACACTAGTAATGATGGGCAGTGGCTAGCAGTGGAATCCAGGATGCGCATTTCGTCCTATTTCGGACTTGTCAGCTGGATGTGCCTGCCTCCCAGTGAGTGATGTCGTCCCCACCGGGACTCGGGAGCGACAGCTTCAAACACTAGA